CCAACGATAGTCGGTTATATTTCAGTGTAAATTGTCTCTCATAATGGCATCGTGAACAGACCACTATTGTCAGTTATATACCCACGATAGTCGGTTACATTTCAGTGTATTTTGTCTCTCATAATGGCATAGTAAACATACCACTATTGTCAGCTATATACCCAGGAAAGTCGGTTACATTTCAGTGTGTATTGTCTCTCATAATGGCATAGTGAACAGGCCACTATTTTCAGTTATATTCCCACGATTGTCGGTTACATTTCATTGTATTCTGTCTCTCATAATCGCATAGTAAACAGACCACTATTGTCAGTTATATACCCTCAATTGTCGGTTACATTTCAAGGCATATTGTGTCTCTCTTAATGGCATAGCAAACAGACCACTATTGTCAGTTATATACCCAGTATTGTCGGTTATATTTCACTGTATATCGTGTCTCACACAATGGCAAAGTGAACGGACCACTATTGTCAGTTATATACCCACGATAGTCGGTTATATTTTAAGGCATATTGTGTCTCTCTTAATGGCATAGTAAACAGACCACTATTGTCAGCTATATACCCAGGAAAGTCGGTTACATTTCAGTGTGTATTGTCTCTCATAATGGCATAGTGAACAGGCCACTATTTACAGTTATATACCCACTAGTGTCGGTTATGTTTCAGTGTATATTGTGTCTCATAATGGCATTGTAAACAGAACACTGTTGTCGCTTATATACCCATGATTGTCGGTTATATTCCAGCGTATAGTGTGTCTCTCATAATGGGACAGTAAACACACCACTATGGTCTGTTACATATTCCTGTTTTTACACGGGTGAACTCTCACTATACTGGCACGCGTGCTCCCCACCTGGATATATCTATGCTTGCGCCTCACGTTGCTGACTGGTTGACCTTACCTTATTAGAACAGTGGCCAGACTCGGCAATGGTACCTCACTGTCCGTCCAGGCGCCGTCTATCAAGTATACTTGCTTCATCCATGGAGAGCAATATATTCTGAGTAGCGAAAGTAAGTATACCGAATTTGTTTTTTTCGGTGTTGTTAATCTTGATTACGTCTACGAAACCATCACTTATTCCTGCAACGGCTTGTAAACAGTTATCCGGGTCTGACCAGTTTTGTGTGAATATAAATGGATTCAATGGAAACTGGGGTAAGACATGAATTTGAAGCCACATGACCCCTACCTTGTTTGAAATATTGTAAACTCATGCAGAAAAAAGAAACTGTATTGCCCGGCAGTTACATCGTCTTGTATGTGTTTTAATTTATTTGAAGTAAATATGCATAGTTGTATTTGTTGATATACATGAAAGGAAAGAATGGAGTGGTCCACGCCCCTGGCAATATATCAGAACGCGGTGACGTCCTGTCCAACTGAAGCATATCACCAATAGAGGGATTTAATGTACATAGATGCTGGAGTATCATGGACACTTTGCGGCTTTTACACGTACCAGTATCCCAGCGTTGTGCACGCTGCTGTACGCGTCACTCCGAGATGTCCGGTATCCCCGATCCGCCTATGTCCCAGCACGCACACGTATCGCCCGGTACCACAAGAGTTCCCTCCCCTCTCACCGTCACTCTTCATGACGTCCATGCTTCCTACAACGGCTTATGTTGTTGTTACACACATCCCTCTAACTGTATCTACTTTCGCCACGCTTGTCAAACAAACTCTCGTCAGCCGTCTCGGATCAGGCGCTGAGCCGTGTGTCAGTAATTGAGGCAGATCCTAACATTTACATTTGTAACCCCACTCCACCACAGCAGGTGGAATCAGCTTGCCCCGCCACATCAACATGGCGCTGGCACCACTACCGCGAGAGGAGAGGGTAGGATGACTACAAGAGCTTCTCACATAGGGTACACTCATCCCGACCCTTGAAGACATTACACAAGAGCAAGTAGAAGTATTAAAAATAATTCAATGAAGGATCCCTCGAGTATAACGACAGCATCAAGTCGGCTGCTGGAGCTGAGAAGAGATGAGATGGAGGTGAACACTATGCGAGCCGTGACACGGACGACGACCCAGGCAGCTAGCATGTGTACCGTACTGCTGACGTATTACCGTCACGGACTAGTAGCCTGTGCACAGATCGTTGGTACTGCTGACGTATTATCGTCACGGACTAGTAGCCTGTACACAGATCGTTGGTAGTGCTGACGTATTATCGTCATGGACTAGTAGCCTGTGCACAGATCGTTGATACTGCTGACGTATTACCGTCATGGACAAGTAGCCTGTACACAGATCGTTGGTAGTGCTGACGTATCATCGTCATGGACTAGTAGCCTGTGCACAGATCGTTGGTACTGCTGACGTATTATCGTCACGGACTAGTAGCCTGTACACAGATCGTTGGTAGTGCTGACGTATTATCGTCATGGACTAGTAGCCTGTGCACAGATCGTTGGTACTGCTGACGTATTACCGTCACGGACTAGTAGCCTGTACGTAGAGTGTCCGTACTGCTGACGTCTGTTTGTTTCTTTGTTTGTTGTTTAACGCCGCACTCAGCAATATTCCAGCTATATGTCAGCGATCAGTAAATAATCGAGTCTGGACCATACAATCCAGTGATTGACATCATTAGCCATGAGCCATAAGACATGATCCATGACATGCATCAACCAACTTACCGAGTCTGACAACCCGATCCTGTTAGTCGCCTCTTACGACAAGCATTGGTTGCTGAAGACCTGTTCTACCCAGGACTTTCACGGGTCCGTACTATCACGGGTCCGTATTATAGTCACGGACTATAAGCCAGTACACAGAGTCTTCCGTGCGGCTGACGTATTATTGTCACGGGGTAGAAGCCTTCATGCGGGGTGTGCCGTATTGCTGACGTACTACCGTATTATCATGGTGTTACTAGGCGGGTGTTACAGTTACTAGGCCAGCAACGCATGAACATACAACAGTGACAGAAATACCCTACTTCACAAAACTAACATTTAATACACGGTTTTCTCAACATGCTTCCGAGCGAAAGTATTTTTATCCTCATGTAGCTTTTTAAACTAAGTACACAGCACAAACAAGCGTCAGCGTATGACTACAGTTCCGCATCAGATGCGTTGTTATGTAGGTCGGTATTTCCCCTCGTTATACAGCGTCCCAAATGTCACAGGGGCCACACATGGGGAGCAAGCCTGGGGGAGTTTAACAGATGCCATATTTCCTGTGATATGCGCACTGAGGCTGAATATAGTAAGTTTTGTATGTGTTTGTTTTAAAAGTGTGTGTTAACTCCAGAAATAAGAACAGAAAATCAGTCATAAACAAAATTCCTCATCAGCTGTAATAGTGCCGTTGTTCCTGGTTGGAATCGCAGGGAGATGGGGAGATGTGGAATATAATCTTTACCACGAGTTTGCTCTTTACACAAAATGGAATCTGTTTCGGCAGATAATCGAAATTATTCTCTGGCGTTAACGGTGTATATGATGACTGGTTTGTACCCCCGGACATCGCGCTGCTGATGGAATGACCGGGCGACGTGGATGGAGCTTCTGTGTACATGCCATGAGGACTATCGGTGTCGCTCAGCGGAGAGATCTCGACCATGGCATACCACGTGTTCCCGACCATGTGATTGTCTAGATTCTAACAAACCAACCGTTCTCTATGTCCGGTCCGACTCGGTCCTTCGGTGACTGACAGATGGCTCTGGGCGAGTTGTCTCTCCTACAGCACGCATGTCATTAACGAGCCGTAAAGCGCATCTCATCCGTGTGGCGTATTGTCCGAGGTGCCCCCACAATGTCGCCCTGCCGCATAGTCTGAACCTTTCATGCATGGATTTATAGATGGATTCATATTTGTTAAATGTTAGATAATTATCACAGTGACTGAAGATAGTAACACGTCACACGTTGGTTCACTCCCGTTGTCCTTCACCTCCAAGGTCGGCGCAGACAGGTCCACTCCCCCGTCAGGAATCGTCTTCCCTCAAGTAGGAAATCTTGTTTTCCTTCTTTGGGCGATCAGGTTCTACCTCCTCGTCGTGCCCCCCGCGGTTGAGGTAGTGGGATCGCTTCACTTGACATTTAGTTTAGTCCCGCAAAGCTCCCCCCTCCCCAACTAATTATACGACTTCTGCGTGACGTCACGTGCATGGTGCACTGGTGGTGCAGGCAGACGTAGTGCACAAGCTCAGGTATATCAGACATACCGTTCATTGTTTTACATACAACATACGTACTGCCTACAGGGGCCTGTGTAGCGGGCCGTCCTCCGCCGTGGGTAAACACAGGTATTGACATAGATCATAACAAGTCTGGGTCAACGCTCTACAAGTTGTAATGACGTGTTGCACAGAAACGTCTCCGATACCGCCGATGTCGTGGCGATGCAGCGATTGATGCACTGAGGTATGTCTCAGATTGCGTGACACCGACTGCACAAGGCAAACATGTGCACCTGTGCACTGATCAAGCACTTACACCGGGCGAGCACCGCGCCAAGCCTAGCATTTGTACAGCGGTTTATTGCAGCTTTTCTAGGATTGTCGTTAGGTATTGAAGCGGACAAACGCTTATTATAATCACATTTCCGCCGGTGATATATGTGTGCGATGTGCATGACAGAATGCTGGCCTCGATCCCCACAGTAGCGCGGAGACGACGACCAGAGCGAGACCACCAGGTCGACTTCGAGCGCTCACTCGGCATCCCCTCACCTCTAGGGTTCCAGTCTCACACAGAGAGACATACATGTACGTGCATTGACGGTATAATGTATCAGGGAAACCCTTGCATAACAAGGATAGTACACAGATCATGAAATGGCAACGTTTTGTATGTTGGCTTGTCCATTAGCTGAATTTCTCACGTCACTGTCAGCATTAGTCTCTGAACTTGAAAATGGATCTTGTAGTGATAGCCGAGGATTTCACTTAAGGTAGCAGTGTCGGCAACATGGCCGGCGGGACAACATGAGTGGGCAGTCGAACTGTGCACGTATGTCGATGGCTGAGTGCATACTTCTGCGAGGTGCGGAGAGTCAGGGAACATGGTAGCAGTTGAACAACTTGTCGCTCCCTTATCTGACTAAATCAGTCTGATCACACGAGCGTATATACGTCCGTCAAACAAACGTGTGTGTATACCGGCTGCAGGGACTTCCCGTAAGTAGCTCTGCCTCTCTTCTATAGTGTCATCAACGATATCAAGTAATTCTCGGACAGATGGATAGGTGTCACAAGTAGATATGTGTTTGAAGTAATGAATAGATAGGTGTCTCAACTAATGAGTAGATATGTATGACAAGTAATGAGTTTATAGAATCTCATGTAACGAGTAGACATATATGTCAAGTACAACGTTTATAGATTCTCATGTAATGAGTAGATTTGTATGTCAAGTAATGAGTTTATAGAATCTCATGTAACGAGTAGACATATATGTCAAGTACAACGTTTATAGATTCTCATGTAATGAGTAGATTTGTATGTCAAGTAATGAGTTTATAGAATCTCATGTAACGTGTAGACATATATGTCAAGTACAACGTTTATAGATTCTCATGTAATGAGTAGATTTGTATGTCAAGTAATGAGTTTATAGAATCTCATGTAACGTGTAGACATATATGTCAAGTACAACGTTTATAGATTCTCATAATGTGTAGATATGTATGTCAAGTAATGAGTTTATAGAATCTCATGTAACGAGTAGACATATATGTCAAGTAATGAGTTTATACATTCTCGTGTGATAAGTATGTATGTATGTCAAGTAAGGAACAGAAGAATATCTCAAGTAATTGGGAGGCAGGGGTACCACACAATCAGTAGATGGTGTAGACAGGTATGTGACGTAGTGAATACGTAGTTGTCCCAGATGATGTGAACACGGGGTGACAATGCATGTCTACCAATAACCTTCAACCCTCGCCATCACATGCCCACTGAGGTGATGGTGTGTCTGGTGATCTTGTTCACGGGAGTCGGTGATGGTGTGTCTGTTGATCTTGTTCACGGGAGTTGGTGATGGTGTGTCTGGTGATCTTGTTTACGGGAGTCGGTGATGGTGTGTCTGTAGATCTTGTTCACGGGAGTTGGTGATGGTGTGTCTGTTGATCTTGTTCACGGCAGTTGGTGATGGTGTGTCTGGTGATCTTGTTCACGGGAGTTGGTGATGGTGTGTCTGTTGATCTTGTTCACGGGAGTCGGTGATGGTGTGTCTGTTGATCTTGTTCACGGGAGTTGGTGATGGTGTGTCTGGTGATCTTGTTCACGGGAGTTGGTGATGGTGTGTCTGTTGATCATGTTTACGGGAGTTGGTGATGGTGTGTCTGGTGATCTTGTTCACGGGAGTTGGTGATGATGTATCTGTTGATCTTGTTCACGGGAGTTGGTGATGGTGTGTCTGTTGATCTTGTTCACGGGAGTTGGTGATGGTGTGTCTGGTGATCTTGTTCACGGGAGTTGGTGATGGTGTGTCTGGTGATCTTGTTCACGGGAGTTGGTGATAGTGTGTCTGTTGATCTTGTTCACGGGAGTTGGTGATGGTGTGTCTGTTGATCTTGTTCACGGGAGTTGGTGATGGTGTGTCTGTTGATCTTGTTCATTGGAGTCGGTGATGGTGTGTCTGTTGATCTTGTTCACGGGAGTTGGTGATAGTGTGTCTGTTGATCTTGTTCACGGGAGTTGGTGATGGTGTGTCTGTTGATCATGTTTACGGGAGTTGTTGATGGTGTGTCTGGTGATCTTGTTCACGGGAGTTGGTGATGATGTATCTGTTGATCTTGTTCACGGGAGTTGGTGATGGTGTGTCTGGTGATCTTGTTCACGGGAGTTGGTGATGGTGTGTCTGGTGATCTTGTTCACGGGAGTTGGTGATGGTGTGTCTGGTGATCTTGTTCACGGGAGTTGGTGATGGTGTCTGGTGATCTTGTTCACGGGAGTTGGTGATGGTGTATCTGTTGATCTTGTTCACGGGAGTTGGTGATGGTGTGTCTGGTGATCTTGTTCACGGGAGTTGGTGATGGTGTGTCTGGTGATCTTGTTCACGGGAGTTGGTGATGGTGTGTCTGGTGATGTTGTTCACGGGAGTTGGTGATGGTGTGTCTGTTGATCTTGTTTTCGGGAGTCGGTGATGGTGTGTCTGTTGATCTTGTTTACGGGAGTTGGTGATGATGTGTCTGTTGATCTTGTTTACGGGAGTTTCGGATGATGTGATACTGATGCAAATATTTAATCTTGTTTCTGTGGCACTAATACGGTGTTGATTTACTTAACGTAACATATGCACACGTGCAGTGGTTTTGATATCACCTTTACTTGTGTTAACAATGTAAATTTGAAATGGCAGAAAAAATTGTATAACCCATTGTATTGATTCCCATCGCCATGACGATATGATAATGCGTTGTGATTATAATAGCATTATTCTCCACCTTTCACTCACTGAAAGAAGGTGTCAAAAGTAGGTCAAGCCTCGGGAAGATCATGCAAATGAACTCGACTGAAAAACGACACTGCCCGACGACAACGCTTCTCACTGCCCGTCTCGTGTTTGTTGCTATATCTACATGTACCTATGTCTACCTTCCCATCTGTCTGTATCTACATGTACCTATGCCTACCTTCCCATCTGTCTGTATCTACATGTACCTATGTCTACCTTCCCATCTGTCTGTATCTACATGTACCTATGTCTACCTTCCCATCTGTCTGTATCTACATGTACCTATGTCTACCTTCCCATCTGTCTGTATCTACATGTACCTATGTCTACCTTCCCATCTGTCTGTATCTACATGTACCTATGTCTACCTTCCCATCTGTCTGTATCTACATGTACCTATGTCTACCTTCCCATCTGTCTGTATCTACATGTACCTATATCTAAGTCCACATCTATCTATACCTACATATACCCATGTCTACCTCCCCTTCTATATATCTACATGTACCTATATATTTCTTTTGCCTATATCTACCTATTCCAACTTAGGTATGGACAGGGTAGGGGGTTATACTGCAGGTGGGGTGTGCCTTGTTCTTTGTGTGGACAGGGTAGGGGGTTATACTGCAGGTGGGGTGTGCCTTGTTCTTTGTGTGGACAGGGTAGGGGGTTATACTGCAGGTGGGGTGTGCCTTGTTCTTTGTGTGGACAGGGTAGGGGGTTATACTGCAGGTGGGGTGTGCATTGTTCTTTGTGTGGACGGGGTAGGGGGTTATACTGCAGGTGGGGTGTGCCTTGTTCTTTGTGTGGACAGGGTAGGGGGTTATACTGCAGGTGGGATGTGCCTTGTTATCTGTGTGGACAGGGTAGGGGGTTATACTGCAGTTGGGGTGTGCCTTGACCTTTGTGTGGAAAGGATAGGGGTTATACTGCAGGTGGGGTGTGCCTTGTTCTCTGTGGAAAGGATAGGGGGTTATACTGCAGGTTGGGTGTGCCTTGTTATCTGTGTGGAAAGAATAGGGGGTTATACTGCAGGTGGGGTGTGCCTTGATCTTTGTGTGGACAGGGTAGGGGGTTATACTGCAGGTTGGGTGTGCCTTCTTCTTGGTGTGGAAAGGATAGGGGGTTATACTGCAGGTGGGGTGTGCCTTGTTCTCTGTGGAAAGGATAGGGGGTTATACTGCAGGTGGGGTGTGCCTTGTTCTCTGTGTGGAAAGGATAGGGGTTATACTGCAGGTGGGGTGTGCCTTGTTCTTTGTGTGGAAAGGATAGGGGGTTATACTGCAGGTGGGGTGTGCCTTGTTCTCTGTGTGGAAAGGATAGGGGGTTATACTGCAGGTGGGATGTGCCTTGTTCTTTGTGTGGAAAGGATAGGGGGTTATACTGCAGGTGGGGTGTGCCTTGTTCTTTGTGTGGAAAGGATAGGGGGTTATACTGCAGGTGGGGTGTGCCTTGTTCTCTGTGTGGACAGGATAGGGGGTTATACTGCAGGTGGGGTGTGCCTTGACCTTTGTGTGGAAAGGATAGGGGGTTATACTTCAGGTGGGGTGTGCCTTGTTCTTTGTGTGGAAAGGATGGGGGGTTATACTGCAGGTGGGGTGTGTCTTGTTCTTTGTGTGGAAAGAATAGGGGGTTATACTGCAGGTGGGGTGTGCCTTGTTCTTTGTGTGGAAAGGATAGGGGGTTATACTGCAGGTGGGGTGTGCCTTGTTCTCTGTGTGGAAAGGATAGGGGGTTATACTGCAGGTGGGATGTGCCTTGTTCTTTGTGTGGAAAGGATAGGGGGTTATACTGCAGGTGGGGTGTGCCTTGTTCTTTGTGTGGAAAGGATAGGGGGTTATACTGCAGGTGGGGTGTGCCTTGTTCTTTGTGTGGAAAGGATAGGGGGTTATACTGCAGGTGGGGTGTGTCTTGTTCTTTGTGTGGAAAGAATAGGGGGTTATACTGCAGGTGGGGTGTGCCTTGTTCTTGGTGTGGAAAGGATAGGGGGTTATACTGAAGGTGGGGTGTGCCTTGTTCTCTGTGTGGACAGGGTAGGGGGTTATACTGCAGGTGGGGTGTGCCTTGTTCTTTGTGTGGAAAGGATAGGGGGTTATACTGCAGGTGGGGTGTGCCTTGTTCTCTGTGTGGAAAGGATAGGGGGTTATACTGCAGGTGGGGTGTGCCTTGTTCTTTGTGTGGAAAGGATAGGGGGTTATACTGCAGGTGGGGTGTGTCTTGTTCTTTGTGTGGAAAGAATAGGGGGTTATACTGCAGGTGGGGTGTGCCTTGTTCTTTGTGTGGAAAGGATAGGGGGTTATACTGCAGGTGAGGTGTGCCTTGTTCTTTGTGTGGAAAGGATAGGGGGTTATACTGCAGGTGGGGTGTGCCTTGTTCTCTGTGTGGAAAGGATAGGGGGTTATACTGCAGGTGGGATGTGCCTTGTTCTTTGTGTGGAAAGGATAGGGGGTTATACTGCAGGTGGGGTGTGCCTTGTTCTTTGTGTGGAAAGGATAGGGGGTTATACTGCAGGTGGGGTGTGCCTTGTTCTCTGTGTGGACAGGATAGGGGGTTATACTGCAGGTGGGGTGTGCCTTGACCTTTGTGTGGAAAGGATAGGGGGTTATACTTCAGGTGGGGTGTGCCTTCTTCTTTGTGTGGAAAGGATAGGGGGTTATACTGCAGGTGGGGTGTGTCTTGTTCTTTGTGTGGAAAGGATAGGGGGTTATACTTCAGGTGGGGTGTGCCTTGTTCTTTGTGTGGAAAGGATAGGGGGTTATACTGCAGGTGGGGTGTGCCTTGTTCTCTGTGTGGACAGGGTAGGGGGTTATACTGCAGGTGGGGTGTGCCTTGTTCTTTGTGTGGAAAGGATAGGGGGTTATACTGCAGGTGGGGTGTGCCTTGTTCTCTGTGTGGAAAGGATAGGGGGTTATACTGCAGGTGGGGTGTGCCTTGTTCTTTGTGTGGAAAGGATAGGGGGTTATACTGCAGGTGGGGTGTGTCTTGTTCTTTGTGTGGAAAGAATAGGGGGTTATACTGCAGGTGGGGTGTGCCTTGTTCTTTGTGTGGAAAGGATAGGGGGTTACACTGCAGGTGGGGTGTGCCTTGTTCTTTGTGTGGACGGGGTAGGGGGTTATACTGCAGGTGGGGTGTGCCTTGTTCTTTGTGTGGACAGGGTAGGGGGTTATACTGCAGGTTGGATGTGCCTTGTTCTTTGTGTGGAAAGGATAGGGGGTTATACTGCAGGTGGGATGTGCCTTGTTATCTGTGTTGACAGGGTAGGGGGTTATACTGCAGTTGGGGTGTGCCTTGACCTTTGTGTGGACGGGGTAGGGGGTTATACTTCAGGTGGGGTGTGCCTTGTTCTCTGTGTGGACAGGGTAGGGGGTTATACTGCAGGTGGGGTGTGCCTTGTTCTTGGTGTGGAAAGGATAGGGGGTTATACTGCAGGTGGGGTGTGCCTTGTTCTCTGTGTGGAAAGGATAGGGGGTTATACTGCAGGTGGAGTGTGCCTTGTTCTTTGTGTGGAAAGGATAGGGGGTTATACTGCAGGTTGGGTGTGCCTTGTTCTTTGTGTGGAAAGGATAGGGGGTTATACTGCAGGTGGGGTGTGCCTTGTTCTCTGTGTGGACAGGATAGGGGGTTATACTGCAGGTGGGGTGTGCCTTGACCTTTGTGTGGAAAGGATAGGGGGTTATACTTCAGGTGGGGTGTACCTTGTTCTCTGTGTGGAAAGGAAAGGGGGTTATACTGCAGGTGGGGTGTGTCTTGTTCTTTGTGTGGAAAGAATAGGGGGTTATACTGCAGGTGGGGTGTGCCTTGTTCTTTGTGTTGAAAGGATAGGGGGTTATACTGCAGGTGGGGTGTGCCTTGGTCTCTGTGTGGACAGGGTAGGGGGTTATACTGCAGGTGGGGTGTGCCTTGTTCTTTGTGTGGACAGGATAGGGGGTTATACTGCAGGTGGGGTGTGCCTTGTTCTCTGTTTGGAAAGGATAGGGGGTTATACTGCAGGTGGGGTGTGCCTTGTTCTTAGTGTGGAAAGGATAGGGGGTTATACTTCAGGTGGGGTGTGTCTTGTTCTTTGTGTGGAAAGAATTGGGGGTTATACTGCAGGTGGGGTGTGCCTTGTTCTTTGTGTGGAAAGGATAGGGGGTTATACTGCAGGTGGGGTGTGCCTTGTCCTCTGTGTGGACAGGGTAGGGGGTTATACTGCAGGTGGGGTGTGCCTTGTTCTTTGTGTGGAAAGGATAGGGGGTTATACTGCAGGTGGGGTGTGCCTTGTTCTCTGTGTGGAAAGGATAGGGGGTTATACTACAGGTGGGATGCGCCTTGTTATCTGTGGGGAGACATCCTAGTCAAAGCAATGCCATTCTATATAAATGTACTAAATGTGTGTTAGGGAAGAGAATATATGGATGTCAACTTCTTTATTATGAGGAACACAACGTTTCGGAGTATATGCTTACTCCTTCATCAAGTGAATGTTCACCTGATGAAGGAGTAAGTGTATACTCCGAAACGTTGTGTTCCTCATAATAAAGACGTTGACATCCATATATTCTCTTCCTTATGTTTATGTTTGTTTTTCGTGTATTTCCAGGAACCGAGTTACAGAGCACGAGACAGTGGCTGTTGTTGCACCTACGGAGACAAATAAGTGACAATGTGGACAGTGGTTCTTGCTGTGATGGTAGCTCTGCTACCGTGTGTGACCCCCCAGTATAGTTCCGGCACCCCCCGGGTGTGGCACGTCAACCAGTTCCCCGACCCCTGGTGGTTCCCCGAGCAGTGTAACCGTGGCAACAAATCGGCAATCTGTGATCCTAATGGCGTCATCACCAGACAACAAGGTCAGCAAACAGGGGTTCATCGGGCTAAGTCGGGGTTCACCTGGCCGAACAGGCGTTGTGATGAGGCCATCCGGCCAAACAAACATCAGCTTCATATCACTTAGCTATCATACTTCATGTCAATAGGCTGCACATTCTTATATGCTCAATTATTCCGCTATGTAATACAGAGGTGGGACATTTCTATTAGTATCCATGTCCTTTATGGACCGTCACTCGCTATGATGTCACCCCCTCACTCACTCAGGATCACTCATTATACTGACACAAACAAATTGTTATATTTATTCTTTCAAAAATAACGTCATGGTAAAATGTACAATTATGTAAAAAATATACAGCAGTAAAAGAGGGTGTAAAGGTTGGTTGCTGAAACAAAATATTTGTAACACACCGAGTCGAATTAGACAAGGTTACGTTTTTTATCCCTGTCCTGTTTATATTTGTTCGTTATTAATGAGCTTGTCCTAGAAGTGTATGCTGCTTGTGATCAGGTTATATTTGTTATCCAAAATATGAAAATCGGATGTTACACCTATTTGCCGTTGACATACTTTTTTCTCGATCAGGCCTGCAGAGACAACAAGGTGTTTTAAATACACATTGTTCGACATTGCGATTGTGCGTAAATCTCGGGAGATCAAATGTTGCTGTATTTAGAAATGGGATAATGCCTCAGTATGAATCCTGGACACTGGACAATGTAAAGATAAAGACGGTAACTTACTACAGATATCTGAGAATGATGTGTTCCTCGCGGTTCTTCGAGTCTAAAACTCTTGCCATGCAGGCACGTACGACAATGGGCCCAGTTTTCATTTGTTCAGTTATAACAGATGTATAGACTTCTCCACTGCTTGTGAAAAATTTGACAACACAATATTGAAGTATGGTTCTGAAATAGGGGTATTACATATCATAACGCAATTGCAGAAATACAAGCATGCTATTTTAAACGTTTTCTTTGTGTGGGTAAATTCGCAGCTTGTTTGGGTGAAGCGGGACGCCAGTGAATGTTTCTAAATACGCAATTGAGGTTAATGAAGTACTGGATAAACTTTGGCTATGATATTCTGTAAACTATTATCAAAGTCGTTAGTGATGTTCTTGTTATTGCTATTCAGCTTATAATGCAAATAATAAAATAAACAGAACGAGCTCAATATATCATTACAATACGGTACATGATGAAATTCACAGATAATTGGGAAAACCTTGGTTGTTCAGGTTTACGATTATTGCAGGTCGGAGAGGATGCATTGACAAAGTAGAGACCGGGGATACAGCTTTATATTTTGCAAAAGATGGTTTAGATGAAGCAACTGTTGGTCAAATTATTATGTCAGTTAAGAGTAATTCCAGAATAGAAGTTTTGAGACTCTCCCTGTGTTCCGGGAAGCCCTTCAGCTGTTATGTTTATTGCGCAGACCCCCTTGTAACAACAGGCATTGAAACACAACAATTTCATGATAGTTTGTTTAACAACGTTTCCTCTACTTCATGACAATGTCTGAAATTATGATGACGAGTTGGCACGGACAAATTAATAACTTTCATGACATTTAAGAAGAAGTGTTGCTTTGGGATTTGTGTTGTATTTCATCGGTACTATTTTGCAGCAAGCTATAGTTACAGCAATGTGTAAATTTCTAATATCTCTTCACAACTTTCGAGTCCACATTATACGTTAAACGTCAGCGGTAAAACATCGGATACGGAATGGATGTAGATTCTGTGTCCTTCATTCACCAGAGGCTGAATACAATGTATTTTGTACATGTAGGAAATATACCAGTACTCACTGGAGAAATAGTTTTCTTACCACATTACAGAAATATCTTAAAGGTAAAATTATGTTTGCAAATCTCTTCAACATATGTCATATAAAGAAGTTTGAAGTTTAATGGTTTTAACTTAATGTAAATTATTTATAATTAGATCGGGAAAGTTGTCACAGGCTGGACATGTGATTTTAATATAACTGATCTTTCAAAGGTACTTTATGCTATTTGGCCTGAATTACGAAATAAAGTTGATTGATTGATTGATTGATTGATTGATTGATTGATTGATTGATTGATTGATTGATTGATTGATTGATTGATTCGAATTATCTTGCCCTTCCTGATCTTATTGATGTGCATCTCTTTTCCAGCGGATGATATCGACCGGTTGATCGAGGCTGTTGCTGTGGACACGCGGTGCCCGTGCTACGACTGTGTCACCAATCAGCGCGGTTACGTCATCCGCGTGGCTCTGATGCACCAGATGGAAAACCTCCTGGAGTAAGTACACTGGAACCTCTGTTCCATCCTCGCGGGTCAGGGGCATATGTCAATGCTCGTTACTTGTGTCTCTATGTATGCCACGACAACATGACAACAGCCGCGGCCAAGGCGTATGTCTACTGATAGACCAGGCAGGGCATAGAACGTGTATCTACTAATAGAACGGCCCAGGACCATGGTCTATATCTACTGATAGAACGCACAGGACTATAGTGTACATCTACTGATAGAACGGCCAGGGCTTATGGTGTATATCTACTGATAGAACGGCCAGGGACTATGGTGTATATCTACTGATAGAACGGCCAGGGCTTATGGTGTATATCTACTGATAGAACGGCCAGGGCTTATGGTGTATATCTACTGATAGAACGGCCAGGGCCTATGGTGTATAACTACTGATAGAACGGCCAGGGCTTATGGTGTATATCTACTGAGGAAACGGCCAGGGCTTATGGTGTATATCTACTGATAGAACGGCCTAGGGCCATGATATATATCTGCTGATAGATCACACGGAACCATAGTGTATATCTTATGATAGAACGACCACAGTTAGGGGTGTCTATCTACAGATAGAAAGGTCACAGCTAGGGGTATCTATCTACTGATGGAACGGACACAGCTAGGGGTGTCTATCTACTGATAGAACGGCCAAAGTTAGGAGTGTCTATTTATTGATAGAACGGCCAGGGCTTTTGGTGTATATCTACTGATAGAACGACCACAGTTAGGGGTGTCTATCTACTGATAGAACGACCACAGTTACGGGTGTCTATCTACTGGTTGAACGGCCAGGGCTTTTGGTGTATATCTACTGATAGAACGACCACAGTTACGGGTGTCTATCTACTTATAGAACGGCCACAGTCAGGGGTGTTTATGTACTGATAGAACGGCCAGGGCTTTTGGTGTATATCTACTGATAGAACGACCACAGTTAGGGGTGTCTATCTACTGATAGAATTACCAAAGTTAGGGGTGTCTATCTACTGATAGAACGGCCACAGTTAGGGTGTCTATCTACTGATAGAACGGTCACAGTTAGGGTGTCTATCCACTGATAGAGCGGCCACAGTTAGGGGTGTCTATCTACTGATAGAACGACCACAGTTAGGGGTGTCTATTTACTGATAGAACGGCCACAGTTAGGGGTGTCTATCTACTGATAGAACGGCCACAGTTAGGGGTGTCTATCTACTGATAGAACGGCCACAGTTAGGTATGTTTATCTTCTGATAGAACGGCCACAGTTAGGGGTGTCTATCTACTGATAGAATGGCCACAGTTAGGTATGTCTATCTTCTGATAGAACGGCCACAGTTAGGTATGTCTATCTTCTGATAGAACGGCCACAGTTAGGTATGTCTATCTACTGATAGAACGGCCACAGTTAGGGGTGTCTATCTACTGATAGAACGGCCACAGTTAGGGGTGTCTATCTACTGATAGAACGGCCACAGTTAGGGGTGTCTATCTACTGATAGAACAGTTAGTGAATGACTTGACTGCCTACCACCTGAATCATCACCAGACGTATTTACCAGGCCTGCTGCACTGTCTGCTGGATCACTGACGCCCATCCCGCAGAACAGGTTTACATTTTAAATGAATAAGACGAGCAATGTAAACATGTTACGTCAACAAGCTGAGGTGTGTACCGTCACCTGATGAAACCCACGCAAACACTTTTCCCCGTACGTTACGTTGCAGCATCCCCTCAACGCTCAACAGCGAGACAGTGTCAGTCCAACCACACTATTGGAGTCCCGGAGACTCTGTCAGTAAACGTAATATCCAAATTATTGGAGACACGGAGACAGTGTCAGTCCTATCCACACTATTGGAGTCTCGGAGGCCCTTTCAGTAAACGTAATATCCAAATTATTTGAGGCTTGGAGACAGTGTCAGTCCTATCCACACTATTGGAGTCCCGGAGACTCTGTCAGTAAACGTAATATCCAAATTATTGGAGACACGGAGACAGTGTCAGTCCTATCCACACTATTGGAGTCTCGGAGGCCCTTTCAGTAAACGTAATATCCAAATTATTTGAGGCTTGGAGACAGTGTCAGTCCTATCCACACTATTGGAGTCCCGGAGACCCTGTCAGTAAACGTAATATCCAAATTATTGGAGTCTTGGAGACAGTGTCAGTCCTATCCACACTATTGGAGTCTCGGAGACCCTGTCAGTAAACGTAATATCCAAATTATTGGAGTCTTGGAGACAGTGTCAGTCCTATCCACAATATTGGAGTCTCGGAGACCCTGTCAGTAAAAGTAATATCCACATTATTGGAGTCTCGGAGACCCTGTCAGTAAAAGTAATATCCACATAATTGGAGTCTCGGAGACCCTGTCAGTAAAAGTAATATCAACATTATTGGAGTCTCGGAGACTCTGTCAGTAAAAGTAATATCCACATAATTGGAGACACTGAGACATACCATGGTACCCTCTGGTCCAGCACTAGGGTTGCGATACCATGTTGTGATGGCTCGAGTTGAGGCCCCCTTTGGTGAAGACTAGGCTTAAAGTACCATGTGGTCTGAGCTAGGGGCTAATGTTTCTTGTGGTCTAAGCTAGGGGCTAATGTATCTTGTGGTCTAAGCTAGGGGCTAATGTACCTTGTGGTCTAAGCTGGGGGTTAATGTATCTTGTGGTCTAAGGTAGGGGCTAATGTATCGTGTGGTCTAGGTTGGGGGGTTAAGGTATCATATGATCTAAGCTGGGGTTAATGTATCTTGGGTCTAAGCTAGGGGCTAATGTATCTTATTGTCTAAGCTGGGGGCTTATTTATCTTGGGTCTTAGCTGGGGGCTAATGTATGTTGTGGTCTAGGTTGAGAGTTAAGGTATCATGTGGTCTAAGCTTGGGGTTAATGTATCTTGTGGTCTTAGCTGGGGTTAATGTATCTTGTGATCTAGGTTGGGGGCTAATGTATCTTATGGTCTAGGTTGGGGGTTAATGTATCTTGTGATCTAGGTTGGGGGTTAATGTATCTTGTGGTCTTAGCTGTGGGCTAATGTATCTTGTGGTCTTAGCTGTGGGCTAATGTATCTTGTGGTCTTAGCTGGGGGCTAATGTATCTTGTGGTCTAGGTTGGGGGTTAATGTATCTTGTGATCTAGGTTGGGGGTTAATGTATCTTGTGGTCTTAGCTGTGGGCTAATGTATCTTGTGGTCTTAGCTGTGGGCTAATGTATCTTGTGGTCTTAGCTGTGGGCTAATGTATCTTGTGGTCTTAGCTGGGGTTAATGTATCTTGTGGTCTTAGCTGGGGGCTAATGTATCTTGTGGTCTTAGCTGGGGGCTAATGTATCTTGTGGTCTAGGTTGGGGGCTAATGTATCTTGTGGTCTAGGTTGGGGGTTAATGTATCTTATGGTCTTAGCTGGGGGCTAATGTATCTTGTGGTCTAGGTTGGGGGTTAATGTATCTTGTGGTCTAGGTTGGGGGCTAATGTATCTTGTGGTCTTAGCTGTGGGCTAATGTATCTTGTGGTCTTAGCTGTGGGCTAATGTATCTTGTGGTCTTAGCTGTGGGCTAATGTATCTTGTGGTCTTAGCTGGGGGCTAATGTATCTTATGGTCTTAGCTGGGGGCTAATGTATCTTGTGGTCTAGGTTGGGGGCTAATGTATCTTGTGGTCTAGGTTGGGGGCTAATGTATCTTGTGGTCTAGGTTGGGGGCTAATGTATCTTGTGGTCTAGGTTGGGGGTTAATGTATCTTGTGGTCTTAGCTGGGGGCTAATGTATCTTATGGTCTAAGCTGGGGGCTTATTTATCTTGGGTCTTAGCTGGGGGCTAATGTATGTTGTGGTCTAGGTTGAGAGTTAAGGTATCATGTGGTCTAAGCTTGGGGTTAATGTATCTTGTGGTCTTAGCTGGGGTTAATGTATCTTGTGATCTAGGTTGGGGGCTAATGTATCTTGTGGTCTAGGTTGGGGGTTAATGTATCTTGTGATCTAGGTTGGGGGTTAATGTATCTTGTGGTCTTAGCTGTGGGCTAATGTATCTTGTGGTCTTAGCTGTGGGCTAATGTATCTTGTGGTCTTAGCTGGGGGCTAATGTATCTTGTGGTCTAGGTTGGGGGTTAATGTATCTTGTGATCTAGGTTGGGGGTTAATGTATCTTGTGGTCTTAGCTGTGGGCTAATGTATCTTGTGGTCTTAGCTGTGGGCTAATGTATCTTGTGGTCTTAGCTGGGGTTAATGTATCTTGTGGTCTTAGCTGGGGGCTAATGTATCTTGTGGTCTTAGCTGGGGGCTAATGTATCTTGTGGTCTAGGTTGGGGGCTAATGTATCTTGTGGTCTAGGTTGGGGGTTAATGTATCTTATGGTCTTAGCTGGGGGCTAATGTATCTTGTGGTCTAGGTTGGGGGTTAATGTATCTTGTGGTCTAGGTTGGGGGCTAATGTATCTTGTGGTCTTAGCTGTGGGCTAATGTATCTTGTGGTCTTAGCTGTGGGCTAATGTATCTTGTGGTCTTAGCTGTGGGCTAATGTATCTTGTGGTCTTAGCTGGGGGCTAATGTATCTTATGGTCTTAGCTGGGGGCTAATGTATCTTGTGGTCTAGGTTGGGGGCTAATGTATCTTGTGGTCTAGGTTGGGGGCTAATGTATCTTGTGGTCTTAGCTGGGGTTAATGTATCTTGTGGTCTTAGCTGGGGGCTAATGTATCTTGTGGTCTAGGTTGGGGGCTAATGTATCTTGTGGTCTAGGTTAGGGGTTAAGGTAGCATGTGGTCTATGCTGGGGCTTATGTATCTTGTGGTCCAGGTTGGGGGTTAAGGTAGCATGTGGTCTGGGCTTGGGGTTAATGTATCATGTGGTCTAGGGTGGGGGTTAATGTGTCATGTGGTCTAGGGTGGGGGTTAATGTATCATGTGGTCTAGGTTGGGGGGTTAAGGTATCATATGATCTAAGCTGGGGTTAATGTATCTTGGGTCTAAGCTAGGGGCTAATGTATCTTATGGTCTAAGCTGGGGGCTTATTTATCTTGTGTCTTAGCTGGGGGCTAATGTATGTTGTGGTCTAGGTTGAGAGTTAAGGTATCATGTGGTCTAAGCTTGGGGTTAATGTATCTTGTGGTCTTAGCTGGGGTTAATGTATCTTGTGATCTAGGTTGGGGGCTAATGTATCTTGTGGTCTAGGTTGGGGGTTAATGTATCTTGTGATCTAGGTTGGGGGTTAATGTATCTTGTGGTCTTAGCTGGGGGTTAATGTATCTTGTGGTCTTAGCTGGGGGCTAATGTATCTTGTGGTCTTAGCTGGGGGCTAATGTATCTTGTGGTCTAGGTTGGGGGTTAATGTATCTTGTGATCTAGGTTGGGGGTTAATGTATCTTGTGGTCTTAGCTGTGGGCTAATGTATCTTGTGGTCTTAGCTGTGGGCTAATGTATCTTGTGGTCTTAGCTGGGGGCTAATGTATCTTGTGGTCTTAGTTGGGGGTTAATGTATCTTGTGATCTAGGTTGGGGGTTAATGTATCTTGTGGTCTTAGCTGTGGGCTAATGTATCTTGTGGTCTTAGCTGTGGGCTAATGTATCTTGTGGTCTTAGCTGGGGGTTAATGTATCTTGTGGTCTAGGTTGGGGGCTAATGTATCTTGTGGTCTAGGTTGGGGGTTAATGTATCTTGTGGTCTAGGTTGGGGGTTAATGTATCTTGTGGTCTAGGTTGGGGGCTAATGTATCTTGTGGTCTTAGCTGTGGGCTAATGTATCTTGTGGTCTTAGCTGGGGGCTAATGTATCTTGTGGTCTTAGCTGTGGGCTAATGTATCTTGTGGTCTTAGCTGGGGGCTAATGTATCTTGTGGTCTTAGCTGGGGGTTAATGTATCTTGTGGTCTTAGCTGGGGGTTAATGTATCTTGTGGTCTAGGTTGGGGGCTAATGTATCTTGTGGTCTTAGCTGTGGGCTAATGTATCTTGTGGTCTTAGCTGGGGGTTAATGTATCTTGTGGTCTTAGCTGGGGGCTAATGTATCTTGTGGTCTAGGTTGGGGGCTAATGTATCTTGTGGTCTTAGCTGGGGTTAATGTATCTTGTGGTCTTAGCTGGGGTTAATGTATCTTGTGGTCTTAGCTGGGGTTAATGTATCTTGTGGTCTTAGCTGGGGGCTAATGTATCTTGTGGTCTTAGCTGGGGGCTAATGTATCTTGTGGTCTTAGCTGGGGGCTAATGTATCTTGTGGTCTTAGCTGGGGTTAATGTATCTTGTGGTCTTAGCTGGGGTTAATGTATCTTGTGGTCTTAGCTGTGGGCTAATGTATCTTGTGGTCTTAGCTGTGGGTTAATGTATCTTATGGTCTTAGCTGGGGGCTAATGTATCTTGTGGTCTAGGTTGGGGGTTAATGTATCTTGTGGTCTAGGTTGGGGGCTAATGTATCTTGTGGTCTTAGCTGTGGGCTAATGTATCTTGTGGTCTTAGCTGGGGGCTAATGTATCTTGTGGTCTAGGTTGGGGGCTAATGTATCTTGTGGTCTAGGTTAGGGGTTAAGGTAGCATGTGGTCTATGCTGGGGCTTATGTATCTTGTGGTCCAGGTTGGGGGTTAAGGTAGCATGTGGTCTGGGCTTGGGGTTAATGTATCATGTGGTCTAGGGTGGGGGTTAATGTGTCATGTGGTCTAGGGTGGGGGTTAATGTATCATGTGGTCTAGGGTGGGGGTTAATGTATCATGTGGTCTAGGGTGGGGGTTAATGTATCATGTGGTGTAGGGTGGGGGTTAAGGTAGCATGTGGTCTGGGCTGGGGGTTAATGTATCATGTGGTCTGGGTTGGGGGTTAATGTATCATGTGGTCTAGGGTGGGGGTTAATGTATCATGTGGTCTAGGGTGGGGGTTAATGTATCATGTGGTCTAGGCTTGGGGTTAATGTATCATGTGGTCTAGGGTGGGGGTTAATGTATCATGTGGTCTAGGGTGGGGGTTAATGCATCATGTGGTCTATGCTGGGGTTAATGTATCTTGTGGTCTATGCTGGGGTTAATGTAAAATGTGGTCTAGGCTGGGGGTTAATGTATCATGTGGTCTAGGCTGGGGGTTAATGTATCATGTGGTCTAGGGTGGGGGTTAATGTATCATGTGGTCTATGCTTGGGTTAATGTATCATGTGGTCTATGCTTGGGTTAATGTATCATGTGGTCTAGGCTGGGGGTTAATGTATCATGTGGTCTAGGGTGGGGGTTAAGGTAGCATGTGGTCTAGGCTGGGGGGTAATGTCTCTTGTGGCCTGGGCTGGGGGTTTAGGTATGTTGTGGTCTAAGGTCGGGGTTAAGGTGTCATGTGCGGAGGGACACTTCAGTGGATATGTCCGTCTGTTGTGGACCACCCAGTGCTAAGGCTGCACGTATAGCTGGTCTGAACTATGTTCAAGGGAAGATGAGGGAATCATGGACCGGCTGAAGAACGCCCGACTGTTCGCCTATCTCCTCACAAAGCGATGGAAGCTGACCGGCAACTGTAACGAAACTCTCCTCATCGTCTACTCCAAGGCCGACAACGTGGTACGTCATCAACTGCAGAACATCAGCCTTGAGAAACATATATGCTACTCTCTGCTAGGTTAGAGGATATGTGGATGGGTGTTTATGTTACTCAATGATAGGTTAGAGGATATGTGTGTGGTGTGCGTTACTCTCTGATAGGTTAGAGGATATGTGGGTGGTTGGTTTATGTTACTCACTGCTAGGTTAGAGGTTATGTGGTCGAATATTGTCTGTTGTTCTGTGCTAGGTTAGAGGATATGTCTTCGGTTCATGTTACTCGCTGCTAGCTTAGAGGATATGAGTGTTGTTTGTGTATGTTACTCTCTGCCAGGTTAGAGGATATGTGGGTGGTGTATGTTACTCCGTGAGGGGTTAGAGGATATGTGGGTGTTGTCTGTTACTCTGTGCTAGGTTAGAGGATATGTGGTTATGTGATGTATTTTACCAACTGATAGGTTAGAGGATATGTGGGTCTTCGATTCATGTTACTCGCTGCTAGGTTAGAGGATGTGAGTGTTCTTGGTGTATGTTACTCTCTGCCAGGTTAGAGGATATGTGGGTGGTGTATTTTACTCCCTGATAGGTTAGAGGATATAAGGGTGTTCTCTGTTACTCTGTGCTAGGTTAGAGGATATTTGGTAGTGTGATGTATGTTACCCACTGATAGGTTAGAGGATATGTGGGTGGTGGGTGTTACTAAACTGATAGGTTAGAGGATATGTGGGTGGGTGGTGTATGTTACCCACTGATAGGTTTGATGATATGTCGGTGGTGTGTGTTACTCTCTGCTAGGTTAGAGGATATGTGGAGGGGTGTTGTCTGTTTCGCTCTGCTAGGTTAGAGGATAAGTGGGTGGGTGTTGTCTGTTGCCCACTGGTTAGAGGCTATGCCTATGGTGTCGTGCTATAGACAATGTCTTTGCTAATGTTCCAGCTGTACACGATGACGGGCAAGTCAGCCGGCATGACGTTGAAGGACAACCTGATTGTGGAGATCTCAGTGGATGTGAGACCTTTCTTTGATGATGAGGAGACGATCGCTGAGGGGATCAAGGAGATGATTAGACGATACAGGTACGGTCAGACCACAGACGAAAACAGAAGAGCAGGTTGCCACGACATAACTATGATACCACATGCATAGTCGATACCACAACGGAATATCAAACACGTTTCAGACGCTTCTTGCAGACTTATGTTTCCTATCACTGTGTTTCCTATTACATCGTTGATACCACAGCTACTGACATCGTTGATACCACAGCTACTGTCCCTATCCATGTTTCAGGGCCGTCGCCAGGACATCGTTGATACCACAGCTACTGTCCCTATCCATGTTTCAGGGACGTCGTCGGGACATCGTTGATACCACAGCTACTGTTCCTATCCATGTTTCAGGGCCGTCGCCAGGACATCGTTGATACCACAGCTACTGTCCCTATCCATGTTTCAGGGACGTCGTCGGGACATCGTTGATACCACAGCTACTGTTCCTATCCATGTTTCAGGGCCGTCGCCAGGACATCGTTGATACCACAGCTACTGTCCCTATCCATGTTTCAGGGACGTCGTCGGGACATCGTTGATACCACAGCTACTGTTCCTATCCATGTTTCAGGGCCGTCGTCGGGACATCGTTGATACCACAGCTACTGTCCCTATCCATGTTTCAGGGCCGTCGCCAGGACATCGTTGATACCACAGCTACTGTTCCTATCCATGTTTCAGGGCCGTCGTCAGGACATCGTTGATACCACAGCTAATGTTCCTATCCATGTTTCAGGGCCGTCGTCAGGACATCGTTGATACCACAGCTACTGTTCCTATCCATGTTTCAGGGACGTCGTCAGGACATCGTTGATACCACAGCTACTGTTCCTATCCATGTTTCAGGGACGTCGTCGGGACATCGTTGATACCACAGCTACTGTCCCTATCCATGTTTCAGGGACGTCGTCGGGACATCGTTGATACCACAGCTACTGTTCCTATCCATGTTTCAGGGCCGTCGTCGGGACATCGTTGATACCACAGCTACTGTCCCTATCCATGTTTCAGGGACGTCGTCGGGACATCGTTGATACCACAGCTACTGTTCCTATCCATGTTTCAGGGCCGTCGTCGGGACATCGTTGATACCACAGCTACTGTCCCTATCCATGTTTCAGGGCCGTCGCCAGGACATCGTTGATACCACAGCTACTGTTCCTATCCATGTTTCAGGGCCGTCGTCAGGACATCGTTGATACCACAGCTAATGTTCCTATCCATGTTTCAGGGCCGTCGTCAGGACATCGTTGATACCACAGCTACTGTTCCTATCAATGTTTCAGGGCAGTCGTCAGGACATCGTTGATACCACAGCTACTGTTCCTATCAATGTTTCAGGGCAGTCGTCAGGACATCGTTGATACCCGAGCTAATGTTCCTATCTATGTTTCAGGGCCGTCTTCAAGAACACCTACTCCAGGGACGATGCTGGCACCGGTTCATTCCCTCGTGACAAGGACAGCGCCGCCGGAGTGTTCACCTCTTCACCTGTTTTGTGTTTGTTGGCCATGGTGATGCTAATCCTCTCTTAACTTCCTATTTCCATACTTCTAATATAACTGTGATGAATATGTACATCCAATATGCCGTTACATTCACACCAAGCGCTGTCCTATAACTGCAGTTCTGCTAACGCTGTCACACCAAGCGGCGTAAACCAAACTAGAAATATTCGCCCTGGAGAGTCCGATACCGGGTGACATACTACACTGAACCGAGGACATCGTGCAGCCGGGAAATGGCTCGTGAACCTACACACCGTGCACACACACACACACACACACACACACACACACACACACACACACACACACACACACACACACACACACACACACAGACACACACACACACACTCACACTCACACAGACACACACACACACACACACACACACACACACACACACACACACACACACACACACACACTCACACAGACACACACACACACGTGTGTCACGTTTGCAAAGCTGACAATGCGGACGGATCTGCTTATGCGAGTTACTCTATTACACCGTTAGAGCTGATACATTTATTTATACATCCAATATAGGATATTTATATTTACGTTTTGACGTTTTCTTATTTGACTTACTTAAAATATGACTGATTTGAAGAAATGTAGCCGACAAGAAAATGATTTCGAGTGTTTACTATGTTGGTAGTGTGGCTGTTATGTTAGCATGTGTCACCGCTGTGCTTTCGGTCACCTTGTTTTGATACCTCAGACCTTCATCTAATGGACGGGGGGAATTCTTTATGAGTTTTGCCCCGGAGAGAGTGGGTTATGTGTGTTATTTTAAATAAAGAAAGCAAAGTTCAACGAAAGGGCATTGTCTCTTTAGACATCTTGCATAATACCGGGTGTGTTGGCCTCTGGCTGGACTAACGTGGTTCTGGCCGGGGTGCACGTGCACTTACAATCACAATAGAAAAACGAACGAATAGACTTTATGAAAATATATACTCAGGAAAGTGTAATAATTCTTCGCACCCAAAGCTATATACTGTTTTATATATATTGAACATAGATGATATTTACTCCACCATGGTGCTATTATATTCCTGGTACATGTATCTGTGCTTGACCTGATGAATGCATCTGGCCATCTTCCCGAGGCAAGGGAGTTAACTCACCAAATGTCTAGTTTCCACGTGTATAGCCAGTTCGCTCCCTTGACTCGGGAAGATGGTATGTAGTGTCTATAGCCCGTGTCACATCAGGGATGATCTCACCAGCAGCAGTACAGGGACCCGGGAACAAGTAATGCTTATCTTATTGGATTCCTACGTAGTTCAAACAATTCAATAGGTATAAATTGCTTCATTGACTAATAATGTTCGTTTAGATAAAACAAATATATGTAAATTAGAATAGAGAGACTGGGCGTGATTGGTGGAGCAGTGGTGTTGCCTTGCACGGATGTGGTCAGTAGATGTTCCTGAAGGCGGAGCGGTGATGTTGCCTTGCACGGATGTGGTCAGTAGATGTTCCTGAAGGCGGAGCGGTGGTGTTGCCTTGCACGGATGTGGTCAGTAGATGTTCCTGAAGGCGGAGCGGTGGTGTTGCCTTTCACGGATGTGGTCAGTAGATGTTCCTGAAGGCGGAGCGGTGGTGTTGCCTTGCACGGATGTGGTCAGTAGATGTTCTTGAAGGCGGAGCGGTGGTGTTGCCTTGCACGGATGTGGTCAGTAGATGTTCCTGAAGGCGGAGCGGTGGTGTTGCCTTGCACGGATGTGGTCAGTAGATGTTCCTGAAAGCGGAGCGGTGGTGTTGCCTTGCACGGATGTGGTCAGTAGATGTTCCTGAAGGCGGAGCGGTGGTGTTGCCTTGCACGGATATGGTCAGTAGATGTTCCTGAAGGCGGAGCGGTGGTGTTGCCTTGCACGGATGTGGTCAGTAGATGTTCCTGAAGACACGGCAGCAGAGTCCCGTCATCTCCTGGAAGAATCCTCCTTGACCACACTTGCATCTGAACATCGGCCCAAACATCTACCGCAGCGGCAGCGTCACTGCTTCACTGCAAGTTCAGTCGTTGTTGTATATCTTGAACAGAGGATATTATTGTGTCTTGTGTTTATTTAACTGTGTTAGATTTCTATGAAGTGCTTGTATATAACTAAGTGCAGTCATTGTCATTAAACTCTTTCGTTATTCTTATTCGCAGTGTTGTAATCCTTCCAAGGCGCTAATAGCGTTATACACATTATTGTAAGTCCTTGCAAGGCGATCGGGTGGTCAGGCTCGCTGACTTGGTGGATGCATACCATCGTATCCCAATTGCGTGGATCGATGCTCATGATGTCAAACACTTGAATGTCTTGTTCAGACTCGATTATTTACAGACCGCCGTCATAAAGCTGGAATATTGCTGAGTGCGGCGTTAAACAACAAACAAACAAACAAACAAAAAAACCTTACAAGGCGCTAATAGTGTGATACACATACTTTGCCTCTTAAAATGTGTCATTAAAGATGTATTACAGCCGTTTCAATCAGCACCACCAACCGATATTTTACAACTGATTCCCACAATAATATATAAGCTTCTTGGAAGTGAAGCAGCCAACTTCTGGGAGTTACTACGTTGTACTCTTACTGAACAGGTGTTTGAGGAATACAGACGATTAGTTGAAAGGGATTTAAATGCAGCTACGTGTAGGCACACGGATATATTTTCGTATTGTGGCAGTGAAATGTTTCTTCAGAACAAGAAGAGGCGTATTTTGCTACAACACCCTATCTGGTTTGAGAAACAGTGCGAAGTCCTTAAACGAGAAACATGCAGGAAATACAAATGTATGGACAATTTACAGAGATACTTACATGCAAAAACAAACTTCAAGGAGTGTTGTAAACATAAAAGATCTAAACGCGAAGAGAAAAGAAGTGAAGCTATTAATGATGCTGGGGAAAACAATGACTGTAAAACATTTTGGGACATTGTGAAACATATTTTACGAAAAACAAGCATTCTTATACTGTGGATCCATCTGTCTGTGTTTTAGAATTATTTCAAGTGTCTTTCAAATGAAGGGTGTACAGATTTTGATGGTCAAGTAAATGACTGTTGATAACCGTCAAGGTGATGCATGTGATGCTGACCTCCTAAAAACAGATATGTTGTCATCGGAGACAACCGAGGAAGAGATTACTAAGGAAGTTGAACATCTAAGGAATGGGAAAACGGGGTGGGTGGTATTCCTACAGAATTCTTAAAACTTCAATTTAATAAGATTCTGGATCATGGAGTTTTCCCCGAAGCACGGAATATCGGCATGATTTTACCTTTGTTTAACTCAGGTTGTAAGGCGGATCCTAATAACTACCGTGGACTATTCCTACTAAATGTGACTAAGAACATGGATTGAATCACAAGCTGGTTTCAGAGAACAGTATTCTACAACAGACAACGTATTCACTTTTCAAGCAATATGCAGTAAATATCTGTGCAGACCAAAAAGACGTTTCTTTTGTGCGGTTATTGATTTTAAAAATACATTTGACGTTGTACCAAGAAAACACTTTTATTTTTGTTGTTACAGAAAGGGTGTTATGGAAAATTACACAGTATTCTAAAACATGTACGGTGCCGTAAATCTTGTTTGAAAATTAATACATGTAGTGAGACAACCCCATCATTTCATACATCTTCTGGAGTTAGTCAAGGATGCATCTTAAGTCTGCTATTGTTTATCTTCTTCATACATGAATTCGTAACAGAAATGTACACATCTTTGCATTTTTATTTCACCAAATATTGAAGACTTGATGCTCCTTCTATTTGGGGACGATGTTGTGACATTTTCATATACTGTGATTGGCCTACAGCGACTTGATTGTGTTACAACATTGGGGACTTGAAGTAAATTTGGAAAAAACCAACGTACTTGTTGTTCGGAATAGGGGTATCGTCGCTCGAAATGAAGCACGGGATATTCTTGGTAAACCGGTGAAAAATACAACCTACTACAAATATCTTGGAGACGATTTCATTTATTTCAACAATATGAAAAGTTATCCTTTTCTTGTGCGTGCAAAATAGTTGACTCTAAAATTTCACCAATATTAGTATATGCATCTGAAATATGGGAAATGAAATATCAAGAAAGTATTGAAAAAGTCCACTCAGCCGACTTCAAGAAATTTCTGTGAGTTGGAAAGTTTGCTGCTACACAAAGCTATCCTTGGTGAGACATGACGTCATTGTCTGTATATATCTACTCTGACGAGAGTTGTTAAATATTGGATTAGATATAATCTAATCCAATAAGTACAGATATCCACGGCAATGTTATAGTATGCAAAAAAGATGGATGAAATTGGAAAAACAATTTGGCCATCAGAAATACGCTAGTTTCTATTCTCTTGTTGATTTCATGTGTATGTATTGCACAAGACGTCGGGGAAGATAAACAATTCTTATACACTGATGGAATAAAATAAAGGATCGCATAGATGGTGCAAACATAAGATTTTAATACAACACTTGATCAAATGAAAGCTACATGGTAAATAATGACTTAATCTCAGTTCTTCAGTATGACCTGTGACCACCACGAGCTCTCACAACAGCCTGACAACGTCTTGGCATACTCCGAATAAATGCCCGGATTGTAGCCCTTGGAACATTATGCTACTCTTGTCTTAAACAGTCAAACATCTCGTCCAGATTACGAGGTTGATTAATGCGATCTCGCATCCGACGACCAAGAACGTCCCATAAATGTTCTATCGGGTTAACGTCTGGACTTTTAGCCGGCCTTGGAAGCACAGCGACCTGGTTCTGCCTAAAAAAATCGGCTGAAACACGAGCAGTATGTGGCCTCGCATTGTCCTGCTGATACTCGAACAACCGCCCAACTCTGTTAGCCAACGGAAGCACCACTGGGCGTAACACTTCGTCACGGTAACGAACACCAGTCAGACGACCATCCACACGAATCAAATCTGTTCGGTTGTCGTAGGTGATTCCACCCCAGACCATCATTGATCCACCCCCGTATCTGTCTTGCTGTTTGACAGTGCATGCTTGGTATCGTTCATTACGTCGTCTCCAAACACGTGTCCGGCCATCTGCTTTGTCCATATTGAAACGAGACTCATCGCTGAACATGGTGTATTGCCAACGAATGCAGCTGTCTGGCTCCATGCTGCCTTGCCCACTGTAACCTTCGCCGTTTGTGTTCTTGAGTCATCCTGATTCCTACCACGGGACGGCGACTGTTGCGTACTGTGCGATCACTTAACCGTAGATGTGTGACAGCTCTGAACTCGACATTCACTTTTGGGGCAGGTTTAAAGCGATCCCTCAAACAAATCAGCCGAATCTGACGATCTTGACGAGCTGTAGTTTTCTTTGGTCGCCCACGCCCACGTCTCATGACAACATCGCCGGTCTGCCTGCAGAGGTTCCACAGTCGTGAGAGGACACTGATGGACTTCTGAAAGTGTCTTGCAATTTCTCGCAGTAACTGGCCTGACCTCACCATCCCGATTGCCTGCCATTTCTCCTTCAAACACATGTACTGTCTTGGCATGTTTCACGCAGTTGATGTCAATGAGATCGGTCTTACAGTAGAAGACTTTATACCCCACTGTGCCATGAAAAACTACTGAAACACGTGCACTGCATGTCTTTCTATAGGTGATAGCCTGCGTTTTGGAGATGTTGACCATGTACTTCCGAAAAACGGCCACACAAAATAACAACATTCGGACTCATTGACCAAACACACTATGCGATCCCTTATTTATTTCCATCAGTATATGTTAAGACAACGAGTAACAGATATGTACATCCAGACTTGGCATGATGCAATGACACATTGTAACTATTTTATCGCATTACAGAGAACCAGAATCTTACATCAATAACCTAGAGGATCGAAACCTACGAAGAGATTTCTGAAAATTTAGAATATCTTTACTCAAGTACTCAAGTATTAGAATAAGGTATTTACCTCATTATAGTTATCCCAGCACTCAGTCAATAGTAAATTTGCTAAATACTAGAAATGTACATCTCCTTAAATCTGTTTCTCTGTTCATGAAACATGTTTCTCATTTACAAACTCTCGCGTGACCATTTATATTGTCACGTAAAACTGAACTTTAGGCCATGTGGCCATACTACTGCATAAACTACCACTACTAATAGCGTTATACACAGTATTGTTATTCCCTAGAAGGCGCCAATAGCGTTATACGCAGTATTGTAATACCTCAAAAGGCACTGATAGCGTTATACACAGTATTGTTATTCCCTACAAGGCGCCAATAGCGTTATACGAAGTATTGTAATACCTCACAAGGCACTGATAGCTTTATACACAGTATTGTAATACCTTACAAGGCGCTGATAGCGTTATACACAGTATTGTAATACCTTACAAGGCGCGAATGGCGATATACACTATTTGATCATGATTCAGAAACACACGTTCATGATCTACTCGGAATCGTACAATCTGCTCTTGGCGGAGATTTCTTATCAATATGGAAAGGGTTTTGTCGCTTTTATTTGGATGAGGAAGACTTTTTTCTGCTTGATATGTGACTTGATCTGTGACTTGATCTGTGACTTGATCTGTGACTTGATCTGATCGGCCGACAGGAAATCCTTGTTGAGTACTTTCAAGACTTATCGTGCGTATTTCCAATGTATTTTTCTTCGGAACCAGGAAGACTGGTGAGTAGAATCTGAAGGTGGTATCTATCAACTCTTCTAATACGCCGATGGCTCCCTTGTCTAGAAGCTTGTGTATTGCAGATTCGCTAACTTGGTCCCTGTCATATGGAATCGGCGTCCTACTGGATGAATCTCAAGACTTGGGCTTTGTCGGAAGTGGAGCTTGTACCCTATTTTGATAACCTCCGACAGCCAGGCGTCGTCCGTGATTGCTTCCCATTTCTCTGCGTATTGAATCAGACGATCTACGACTAGCCCTGCGGTTGGCGTTGAGTTGAGTATCGGTAGTCTTGATACGATGTCAGTGAGAGAGTCAAGGTCGACAGGATTGAAGGCTCTGCTTCAATCTCTGCCACGCTGCGTGAAGGGTTGCATGTTCTTGGAGACACTTTGAACGTGAAGATCTTTCCTTTGAGGCGGGGGCACGCCCTTACGTCACATGTCTTGAAAATATCTCTGGTTCGTTGCCCTGATGACCTTTTCGTTGACTTCTTGCAAGCTCCGTTGGAAGACCTGTGGGGCTGTAGTAGATGGTGATAACATACTTCTCTTCGGCGTCTCCAGGTTGAAATGATGTGCTTGGTGTAGTAGGTGGTTCAGTTGCATGAGCAAAAGCTGTGTTGACATCAACACCTACGTTGACCAGAGGTCCTCCTGCATGTTCAGGTGCAAAGAGCTGAGTGTGAATCCCACACGGAGCAGGTTCATGCTGACTTGGGTGTCGACATACTGACTTGTCACCAGGTGTCTCTCTGTGGTGCGTTTCACACTTTCCCATCCATACGTCCGTATTACCATTGGCTGTAACTACTTTCGTCTTTTAGGCTGACGATCTAGAGTGAGTGAGTGAGTATGGTTTTACGCCGCTTTTAGCAATATTCCAGCAATATCACGGCGGGGGACACCAGAAATGGGTTTCACACATTGTACCCATGTCGGGAATCGAACCCGGGTCTTCGCCGTGACGAGCGAACGTTTTAACCACTGGGCTACCCGACCGCCCCTGACGATCTAGAAGAGTCAGAAATTTTATTACATGCCTTGGATAGTTTGTTAATCTTTGGATATTTGTTTGCAATCGTTGCATCTCGACTTTGGCATGCATGTGCTCTTCTTGCATCTAGGATGTTGATCCCCGGCGATTTGATCGTTACCGCACCGGGAGCAATCACCAATCGGCGATGAAGATGCACGCTTCCTCTCCCACCAACCGTGTATCTAACAACCTGACCCACACGACGTCCTTTCTTCTATTAACCCCCCCCTCCCCCCCTTCATATGTCGTAGACTGCTCTCCGCTTGTTGGTCTTGTCTAACTAATGATATTAGTGAAGTTTACAAAAATGAATGTAAAACAGCAATCAAACGTGTCACGATGTGATCAACAATTTTGACTTGTTTACATCTGGACACACACTATGGAAGCAGAGACCACATTATATGGACTCTGATGGAAGTGACGTTTTCCCCCCTTCCGGCATTTCCTGTGGAGGATAGAGTCTTCCTCACAACTATCACATATGATGACAGTAAAGGGGGCGTCTGTTGAAAATCTAAATAGTTTTTTTTGTGTGATTGCCAGCCAAACAGGAATTTATGGCTATGATGTCATAGATATAGGGTATTGCCAGCCAAACAGGAATTTATGGCTATGATGTAATAGATGTAGGGTATTGCAAGGTATTTATGGCTATGATGTAATAGATGTAGGGTATTGCAAGGTATTTATGGCTATGATGTAATAGATGTAGGGTATTGAAAGGTATTTATGGCTATGATGTAATAGATCTAAGGTATTTATGGCTATGATGTAATAGATGTTGGGTATTAAAAGGTATTTATGGCTATGATGTAATAGATCTAGGGTATGTGCAAGGTATTTATGGCTATGATGTAATAGATATAGGGTTTTGAAAAGTATTTATGGCTATGAAGTCATAGATATAGGGTTTTGAAAGATATTTATGGCTATGATGTCATAGATATAGGGTATTGAAAGGTATTTATGGCTATGATGTAATAGACGTAGGGTATATGAAGGAATTATGGGCTTCCAAATTGTCCATGACTTGAGTGATTGCGAATATGTCCTCCATGTTGTGACTAGCACAAGTTATGCCTGTGTGACAAGTGAATTCTTAAACCACTAAGCTACCTCTACACTAGGCTGCCCTTCCAGCCTGTTTGGGAGAGGTCATGGAAATTTGACGGCACAATCCACTGTGTTCCCCTATATTACAATAGGTTCCTGACACCCTCTGATAAACCAAGTAACCAGCTCATCTTCCAAACCTAAGTTTTTAAAACAGGTCACTTCTAAACATGCTTTAAGGTTTTGCGGTTCAATTGTAACACCTAGGTTACAAATGACTTTTCATAAACTGGCCTCTTGATATGTGCACAATCTTTATTTTGGATTCTCTAAAAGACACAATTTTGTACAAAATACATGAAGATGTCATAACGGGAATCAAACCTGCAACCACAACGTGTTTTCCAAATATCTTGTTAAATTTTACATGTCATGACTCCAGCTGGTCCAAGCTGCATGTGGTTCTTCTCTCCCACGCCTTGATCGAATTCCTTTTATGCCGCATACTGTATTGTTTCAATATAAGGTATGTTGATGTTTTCTTATTTTTTTCTGGTATTTCTCACATTTAGATGATTTATAAGTTGGATAAAAAACACCTCCTTACAAGGTCCTCGAGCTTTTCCCCTGATCGTGGTTTGACAAAACTCACAGCTACATCAATGAACAGAGACAAAACATCATAAGAATGTAATACATTCTTCTTTTATTCTAAGTACAAACTTCATGTTACAGTCCCTGTACATGGAATAGAAAAAGATGAAATTATTCTACATAGAAGATGGCTCTTGATCTCTACTGGAATGCATGTCCGGAATCCTCGACTGGTTCAAGTGACATTCACAAAATGATGTAACCAGACAAAAGGTCTTGATGAATTCCTAGATCACTGTTACTAAGTTACAGGATCTTGATGAATTCCTAGATAGCTGGAACTAAGTCTGTATCAAAGTGATAATATGTAAAGATGATAAAAAATCCCATTTGTCCTGACAAGCATGGGATCACACTGGAGTAATGTCGCTTGAATTCGGTATACAAACGACTCAATCTCATTAAAATCAGATTTAAGTTCCCTCTGCCACTAAACAAAGATCTGAGGACATCCCATTACGGGTCACGTCAGAACGACCTTTTCGCAAACTTTGACCGATCACTGAAATGAACAACAAGAAGTCGACATCAGCCAATTAGAAAGCAGCTTTCTCGAGCTTTACGACACTTGTTTCAACCTGGCGACTTCCATTTCAGACTACGCTTGAAAAATATGTTGACACAGTTCTCGATTAAAATTTGAAAACTGAACAAACGAACATTCTGGAATGTCTAATATACGGTTGAGATTGTATGGCAGTGCTTCCCACGTACTGTGCAACGCCTCCTCCGTTCAAATGTTTATCCCATGGAAGCGAGAGATAGGCGATTATTTTGACGGAATCAGTCGTACGGGCCGTAACTATCGTTCGAAATACCCCGTCTGAACATTTTCGAGGTTGCATAATCAGAAAACACATTCCGACTGTCACTTTCATGATCTGGTAAGCAACACTTTGATTGGTTGGATGAAAGGTCGTTCTGACGTGACCCATAATGGGCTGTCCTCAGATCTTTGTTTAGCGATAGCGAGAACTAAGATCTGATTTTAATGAGATTGAGAAACGACTTGTCAGTCTATGACTTTAGCCACTTGTCAGGTCAAGTACTGGTAAAACAATTTCTGTCTAGTAGGTTTAGCACATACTATTCTATGCACTAACATTAATATGTACTGTAGGTTCAATTTGAGGGATCAAAGACAGTCATATAATCTCACTGTAAACTGCAATCTCACTAAAATAAGGTTCTCGCTGCCGCAAAACAAAGATCTGAGGACATCGCATTACAGGTCACAACACGACCTTTCACGAACTTTGACCGACCACTGTAATGACTAACAAGCAGTCGACATCAGCCAATTTGAAAACAGCTTTCTCAAGCTTCACGGCACTCATTTCAGCCAGGCGACTACCATTTCAGACCACGCTTGAAAAATATGTTGACACAGTTCTTGATTAAAATTTGAAAACTGAACAAACGAACATTTCGGGATGTCTAATAATATGGTTGAGATTGTATGGCAGTGCTTCCCAGGTACTGTGCAATGCCTCTTCCGAGCAAATGTTTCTCCCATGGAAGCGAGAGATAGACGATGATTTTGATGGAATCAGCCGTACGACCCGTAACTGTCATTTGGTATATAACTGTTAACTTTTGCGACGTTGCATGATTAGAAAACACATTCTGACTGTCACGGTCATGATCTGGTAAGCTACACTTTGATTGGTCGGATGTAAGGTCATTCTGACGTGACCCATAATGGGATGTCATCAGATCTTTGTTTAGAGATAGTGAGAAGTAAGATCTGATTTTATTGAGATTGCTGTAAACTGGGAACATGGATTTCTTGGTAATCCTGGTTTGACAACTACCGTCAGTGACTTCAACAATGGACACAAACACAACATGGGGTTGTAAATGATATAAAATCTTCCACAGAACCATTCATCAGTACACATTGATTATCAGGTGAAGCAGATGACACAGGAATCTTCTGGCCACACCTATTCTGTTACACAAAGTCCAGGATATCCAGGGCGAAGATGATGCTGTTGACCAGGAGGATGAGGAGACCAGCGTACCCAAACGTACCCCGGGTCCTCTTTGACGGATCTGGAAAATAAAGGGGCAATGTTGTTGTTTCCCTATAAACTTTCTCCTCACAGTCACACAGAAGGTCAAATTGCCTACGTTTAGTCTAAGCAAACAAATCTTTATTCCATAGCTATCAACAGTGTTCTCCCTACATAACAAGGTGCTCACTACATCAAAAGGTGCTGCCTACATCACAAGGTGCTCCCTACATCACAAGGTGCTCCCTACACCACAGGTGCTTCCACCACAAGGTGCTCCCTACACCACAGGTGCTTCCACCACAAGGTGCTCCCTACACCACAGGTGCTTCCACCACAAGGTGCTCCCTACACCACAGGTGCTTCCATCACAAGGTGCTCCCTACATCACAGGTGCTTCCACCACAAGGTGCTCCCTACACCACAGGTGCTTCCATCACAAGGTGCTCCCTACACCACAGGTGCTTCCACCACAAGGTGCTCCCTACTTCACAGGTGCTTCCATCACAAGGTGCTCCCTACATCACAGGTACTTCCACCACAAGGTGCTCCCTACATCACAGGTGCTTCCACCCCAAGGTGCTCTCTACATCACAGGTACTTCCACCACAAGGTGCTACCTACATCACAAGGTGCTCACAACATCAAAGGGTGCTGCCTACATCACAAGGTGCTCCCTACATCACAAGGTGCTCACTACATCAAAATGTGCTGCCTACATAACAAGGTGCTCCCTACTTTACAAGGTGCTGCCTACATCACAGAAACTGCCAACAGCACAAGGTGCTCACAGAAACTGCCAACAGCACAAGGTGCTCCCTATATCACAGAAACTGCCAACAGCACAAGGTGCTCCCTACATCACAGAAACTGCCAACAGCACAAGGTGCTGCCTACATCACAGAAACTGCCAACAGCACAAGGTGCTGCCTACATCACAGAAACTGCCAACAGCACAAGGTGCTCCCTACATCACAGAAACTGCCAACAGCACAAGGTGCTCCCTACATCACAGAAACTGCCAACAGCACAAGGTGCTCCCTACATCACAGAAACTGCCAACAGCACAAGGTGCTCCCTACATCACAGAAACTGCCAACAGCACAAGGTGCTCCCTACATCACAGAAACTGCCAACAGCACAAGGTGCTGCTGACATCGCAGGTGTTCCCTCCATCACACTCAACTCACCTCCAGTGTAGTAGCCATATGCGTACACGACACGACTGACGATCCACACAACTCCACACAAGGCACTAACTTTCTGAAGTACAGATAATGTAGTTGTTAACACATTATATCATGTTGATAGACCTCATAGGTCATCAGCAACCCATGCTTGCTACTGCTAATCATTGTCAGTGATCATACTGCTAATCATTGTCACTGGTCATACTGCTAATCATTGTCAATGGCCCTACAACTAATCATTGTCAGTGGTCATACTGCTAATCATTGTATCTGGTCATACTGCTAATCATTGTCACTGGTCATACTGCTAATCATTACCACTGGTCATACCGCTAATCATTGTTACAGGTCATACTGCAAATCATTGTCAGTGGTCATACTGCTAATCATTGTCACTGGTCATGCTGCTAATCATTACCACTGGTCATACTGCTAATCATTATCACTGGTCATACAGCTAATCAATGTCACTGGTCATACTGCTAATCATTGTTACAGGTCATACTGCAAATCATTGTCAGTGGTCATACTGCTAATCATTGTCACTGGTCATACTGCTAATCACTGTCACTGGTCATACTGCTAATCATTGTCACTGTTCATGCTGCTAATCATTGTTACAGGTCATACTGCAAATCACTGTTACAGGTCATACTACTAATCATTATCACTCGTCATAATGCTAATCATTGTCACTGGTCATACTGCTAATCACTGTCACTGGTCATACTGCTAATCATTGTCACTGGTCATACTGCTAATCACTGTCACTGGTCATACTGCTAATCATTGTCACTGTTCATGCTGCTAATCATTGTTACAGGTCATACTGCAAATCATTGTTACAGGTCATACTGCTAATCATTATCACTCGTCATACTGCTAATCATTGTCACTGGTCATACTGCTAATCACTGTCACTGGTCATACTGCTAATCATTGTCACTGGTCATACTGCTAATCACTGTCACTGGTCATACTGCTAATCATTGTCACTGTTCATGCTGCTAATCATTGTTACAGGTCATACTGCAAATCATTGTTACAGGTCATACTGCTAATCATTATCACTCGTCATACTGCTAATCATTGTTACAGGTCATACTGCAAATCACTGTCACTGGTCATACTGCTAATCATTATCACTCGTCATACTGCTAATCATTGTCACTGTTCATGCTGCTAATCATTGTCACTGGTCATGCTGCTAATCATTACCACTGGATATACTGCTTATCATTGACACTGGTTATACTGCTTATCATTGTATCTGGGACCCGTGAAGCTTCCGGGGTAGAATAGGTCTTCAGCAACCCATGCTTGCCGTAAAAGGTGTCTATGCTTGTCGTAAAAGTCGACTAACGGGATCGGGTGGTCAGACTCGCTGACTTAGTTGATGCATGTTATCAATCCCAATTGCGTGGATCGATGCTCATGATATCAATCACTGGATTGTCTGGTTCAGACTCGATTATTTACAGACCGCCGTCATATAGCTTGAATATTGCTGAGTGCAGCGTTAAACAACAAACCAACCATTGTATCTGGTCATACTGCTAATCATTATCACTGGTCATGCTGCTAATCATTATCAAAGGTCATACCACTAATCATTATCAAAAGTCATACTACTAATCATCATCAATGGTCATACTGCTAATCATTTTCAAAGGTCATACCACTAATCAGTATCAATGGTCATACAACTAATCATTGTCAATACTCATACTGCTAATCATTGTCACTGGTCATACTGCTGATCATTGTCTATGGTCATACTGCCAATCATTATCACTGGTCATACTGCTAACCATGATCAATGGTCCTACCACAAATCATTGCCAGTGGCCATACTGCTAATCATTGTCACTGATCATACCACTAATCATCGTCAATGGTCCATGGTGCTACCAATAATCATTATGAGTGGTCATACTACTGATCATTGTCACTGGTGCTACCACTAATCATTGTCAATGGTCATACCACTAATCATTATCACTAGTCATTATCACTGGTCATACTACTAATCAATATCACTGGTCATTATCACTGAACATACTACTAGTCATACCACAGAATATACAACTGGCCAATACAAGAATGCATTCTATACACTCAGGAATACCTACTGGAAATTCAAGTCCTCCAAAAATTAATAGCACCAAGGTCACAGGATACACCTCAAGTCTGAAACAAAACCATCTGGTAATGAGTGTCACATCTGTATGTTGTAATCTGGTGATGTGCGTCACGTCTGTATGTTATAATCAGGTAATGTGCGTCACATCTGTATGTTGTAATCTGGTGATGAGTGTCATATCTGTATGTTGTAACCTGGTGATGAGTGTCATATCTGTATGTTGTAACCTGGTGATATGCCTCACGTCTGTATGTTGTAATCCTTTGATGAGTGTCATATCTGTATGTTGTAATCTGGGGATGAGTGTAATGTCTGTATGTTGTAATCATGTGATGAGTGTCATGTCTGTATGTTGTAATCTGGTGATGTGCGTCACGTCTGTATGTTGTAATCTGGTGATGAGTGTCACGTCTGTATGTTGTAACCTGGGGATGAGTGTCACATCTGTATGTTGTAATCTGGGGATGAGCGTCATGTCTGTATGTTGTAATCCTTTGATGAGTGTCATATCTGTATGTTGTAATCATGTGATGAGTGTCATGTCTGTATGTTGTAATCATGTGATGAGTGTCATATCTGTATGTTGTAATCTGGTGATGTGCGTCACGTCTGTATGTTGTAATCTGGGGATGAGCGTCACGTCTATGTTGTAATCTGGTGATGAGCGTCACGTTTGTATGTTGTAATCTGGTGATGTGTGTCATGTCTGTATGTTGTAATCTGGGGATGAGTGTCATGTCTGTATGTTGTAAACCTTTGATGAGTGTCATGTCTGTATGTTGTAAACCTTTGATAAGTGTCACGTCTGTATGATGTAATCTGGTGATGAGCGTCATGTCTGTATGTTGTAAACCTTTGATGAGTGTCATATCTGTATGTTGTAATATGATGATGTGCGTCATGTTTGTATGTTGTAATCTGGGGATAAGTGTCATGTCTGTATGTTGTAATCTGGTGATGAGTGTCATGTCTGTATGTTGTAATCTGGTGATGAGTGTCATATCTGTATGTTGTAATCTGGTGATGTGCGTCACGTCTGTATGTTGTAATCTGGGGATGTGTGTCACGTTTATGTTGTAATCTGGTGATGTGTGTCATGTCTGTATGTTGTAATATGGTGATGAGTGTCATGTCTGTATGTTGTAATTTGGTGATGTGTGTCATGTCTGTATGTTGTAATCTGGTGATGTGTGTCATGTCTGTATGTTGTAATCTGGTGATGAGTGTCATGTCTGTATGTTGTAATCTGGTGATGTGTGTCACGTCTGTATGTTGTAATCCTGTGATGAGTGTCATGTCTGTATGTTGTAATCTGGGGATAAGTGTCACGTCTATGTTGTAATCTGGTGATGTGTGTCATGTCTGTATGTTGTAATCTGGTGATGTGTGTCATGTCTGTATGTTGTTATATGGTGATGAGTGTCATGTCTGTATGTTGTAATCTGGTGATGAGTGTCATGTCTGTATGTTGTAATCTGGTGATGTGTGTCATGTCTGTATGTTGTAATCTGGTGATGAGTGTCATGTCTGTATGTTGTTATATGGTGATGAGTGTCACGTCTGTATGTTGTAATCTGGTGATGAGTGTCATGTCTGTATGTTGTAATCTGGTGATGAGTGTCATGTCTGTATGTTGTAATCTGGTGATGAGTGTCATGTCTGTATGTTGTAATCTGGTGATGAGTGTCATGTCTGTATGTTGTAATCTGGTGATGAGTGTCATGTCTGTATGTTGTTATATGGTGATGTGTGTCATGTCTGTATGTTGTAATCTGGGGATAAGTGTCACGTCTATGTTGTAATCTGGTGATGTGAGTCATGTCTGTATGTTGTTATATGGTGATGAGTGTCATGTCTGTATGTTGTAATCTGGTGATGAGTGTCATGTCTGTATGTTATAATCTGGTGATGAGTGTCATGTCTGTATGTTGTAATCTGGTGATGAGTGTCATGTCTGTATGTTGTAATATGGTGATGTGTGTCATGTCTGTATGTTGTAATCATTAACTGTGTTAACACTGCCTTGTCCTATTTATTGATCCTGTTTTCAGTCACACTGACAAAGCCATCATCACATAAGTTATAAATATTAACATTAATCAAAATCCTTATTATACCAATTTGGGAATGTTTACTTACATTTGCTGCAGATTTAGGACTCACTAACGGCCTCTGTGCAGGTCCAGCAAAAACCCTTGGTGTATGGTAAAGACCCCTTTGCTTTGTAGTGTTAATTTCACAGACACAATGAGGTGATACGTACGTGTTCTGATGAGCCCTCTGCACACAGTTGAACATGTGGCCATCACCGAATGTGTCCGTACAGTACATGATGGGGTACTGAAAGTGAATGGAGAGCGATAGATAGTAGTGGGACTATACACTGATGCATCGAGATTTTTTTACTTTGCGAAATAAGTATCGATCACAATCACACACAAAGTAAAATGTATTGAATCTTACCTTAAATGTATACTTCAATTAAATGTTACACCAAACACTAATTACAAGTGAAAAGGAGTAGTGAAAACATAAATGTTTTCATCCATTGAGATATACTTGACACTGCCAACAGTAAATTGTTAGTGTGCCAGGTATTTGACCATCGTGTCTATAAAAAACATGGCTCACACACCACAGAAAAGTGCACATGCATGTATCGTAATAGGTATCCAATCGTGAGCAAGGTATCGTGATACATATCGGATCTCACAGTTGGTGTATCGTTCCTGCCCTACTGATTGATGAGTTGACCCCTTGTTGACATTGCCGTAACACTCCATCCGCATCAGAGATGGTATGTATAGTTAAGAAGCCAATGTATTTAGTTAAGAACTAACCAGTTAATCTTTGACATTATCAAAGCAGAAATCATGGAAATAGTTTAACTAGATTTTCTGCATCCTTGGTTGCCAAAAGTGTATCTCTCTAGTTTGCCTTTAACTAATCATGGACGATGGATTTTCTGCCGAGCGGTCAAAAACTGCAGTCATAACGACATTTTGTTTATGAGGGTCATGCTCAAACATTATAACCTACTTCTGGGAGAACATTTAACAGCTCCACTACATTCCTATCAAACACACAACAAATTACAACAGTTCGCTTGCACCAGTGCGTACAACCACTGGTTGATACTATCTCGGGTGACTGCACAAACTGAAAAAAACAAACTTGCTCACGTTGACTTCATACTTTCGTCTTGCTTTAACAACTTGTAGTCCAAGCCAGTTCAGCAAAACCCACGTAGCCACGATGACTAAAACCACATAGCCGAAGTCAGACTGAATTTCTACACTGACACCCATTATTAGCAGCTGAAATTAGCAAAACAGATAGAATACAACCACTTGGACTTTCTCCTCGGTATTTCCCGATAAGAAAAAGGTCAAGGTCTTTCGGTTTAATTTAAAGTTTGGCTCTGGATATTGTATGGATCTAGCACGTTCTACATAATGGTTTCTTATGTGAATAAATTCTTCAACGTGCTTGAATGTTAAAGTATGTGTTATATGGTTGTTCCAAAGGCGTGATCACAAATATTATTACAGCTGATTCATTGACACGACTGTCGACTTCCGCCTACAAACTAAACAACACGGTTCAAGTTTTCGAGTCACCTTACTCCGGGCGGGATTTGTGAATGAACGACTTCTCGTGAATCCCATTGTGAAAGTATTTGATAAGGACAACATTCGTATAGGCCTACGGTAGATTTCCTTTATTCATTATGGCTGCCGCCGAACATTCACCTAAATGGAAGAACCCGTCTGATGTGATGAAGGTTCGAAGTATCAAACGGCGAACGCTAGCTCGAAGAAAAACTATCCACGACCCCACTGAACTGTCTTCTGCATTGCTGAGCTCGAGACCGTCAAGTGATCGTCCCGTCACCAAGAGGAAAAACCCCTTTGGCTGCAAAACTGACAACAAAAGACCGAATCATGGAAATACTAATAAAGAGGATCCCAGAGAACTTTTTAAGGCTTTGGATGTTATGAACGAGGTAGAGTGCACTGGTCATGTGAGAAAACAAATCTTTAGCCTACTGGCCAAGCGACTAGGGACCCGTTCCACAAAGCGATCTTAGCGCCAAGGTGATCGTAACACCCATACCTTAACATAGACTTACGACACTCGTCATGCTAAGGTTGTTTTGTACAATGGGACCCAGTTATCGGCATATGTTTCATGTTATGTCAGAAATATTCTCAATCTGTGTATGAAGTTCATTGTAGCAATAACTTTGATTTGGATGAAACTACGAGCAAACAGCCCATTTCTGTCCGTGGAAGGCATTTGAGGAGACTTCTGACTAGGACTTCTACTTGTTTGCCCCCCCCCCCCCCAATATGATTAAATGGATTGTGTCCCAATGCTTATCCATACATAACTTTTGGAAGGGGGCTAAGAATCAAGAATTTTTATTGTACGGAACACCCTCGTAGGGCAGGGTACAAACTAACTATATATGGAATAAATATAACTATCAACATGAGAGGTATATATACATAATGTACATTATATATATAAATATTACATATTATTTCATTCATAGTGTATAAACATTTATATATAGATATATCATGAGGTGGCTGGCAGCGTGTACTTTAATGATGCTATGGGCGGAAATCTTTCCGACTTCTGTCATAACGTGATGAGGGAATCCAAACAGTGGAAATACTTTCCTGTTGATTAACTGGGGTTTTAGCTAAAACGGGACCGAGCGAAAATGGCACCAATTGGCGAAAATGGCACCTTTTTTTTAAACCTTGATAGATCTAGTGAAATACTCGCTGACTCTGATAGGGCATGTTGGGAGGTACAACTATACTTATGGTGAAAACATTACATGCTTTGAAGTAAATAAATGAGAACTCACATAGTCACTTGTAAACACAAATAATTGAGAAATGTTAATCGCATTTAAACAAGTTTACATAGGAACTTAGCCTCTATTCTAATTTATTTGGAGGCGACTAAACTTATTGTGAAAACATCACATGCTTTGATTACCTTTCCTCAGATTAGCTCAATGTCAAGCTGAAACTGAGTGGCGGAAATGTCAAGAAACTTAACTACAGGTATACTACATATTTGATATTTATGTTATATATATTCCCTTTCTGCCGGCAGCCAAGAATGTTTCTTCAGATAGCAGACCGTGTCCCCGCCCAAGGAAAACATACATACAACAACATAACATAATAAAGCATGTAAATAAAGTATACTCACTACTACATAAATCATTCTTATTGTTATTAAAAATAGAGCTGCCGTTTTCGCACGTCAATTAGTAGCTTTTTTCGCCAAATGAGATGCCGAGGTGCCATTTTAGCCTGCACGCGATTAACTGTACCAGCAAATAGCACGTGCCATGTGATCACACAAACAACTTCAGTGAGGCCTATACAAGTGACATTTTTCATTATCTCTGGTATCGTTAGCCAAGAGCCGCGATGGGGTCCTACAGTCAAATTACAGTCAAAAGAGACCCTTTTCCACTAACAAGTTAAACAGATGTCTTCAGGCAGAAATGAAATGATGTTATTATATGTTTATTATCTCATAAGATAGAATACTGTTTCTCATACAAAGTAAAATGCTTTAATTTGTTCCTTAATGAATGTATCAATGGTTCATAAGGCACATATTGATGATGAGGACAGTTTGTTTTACAAATGTCAGGATTGAGTCAATACCCTAAATCAAGTATGACATGCAGAATGGAGTGACCTACCCTTTCATCTGACTTCGATCGCCAAGGTACAGTCTGAACATGATTGAATTTGTCTTGTAGAGAGTGAATGAGGCGCTGACTTGTGAGCATGGCAGCGAACAAGTCCAACACCCTGAGTCTGACATTAGTGATGGCGTGAGAAGCCTAGTCAACATTGAAGATGGGCCGAAGTGGCAGAGCAGTGAGGTATTACCTGGCAGTGGTAGAGCAGTAAGGTATTACCTGGCAGTGGTAGAGCAGTGAGGTATTACCTGGCAGTGGTAGAGCAGTGAGGTATTACCTGGCAGTGGTAGAGCAGTGAGGTATTACCTGGCAGTGGTAGAGCAGTGAGGTATTACCTGGCAGTGGTAGAGCAGTAAGGTATTACCTGGCAGTGGTAGAGCGGTGAGGTATTCCCTGGCAGTGGTAGAGCAGTGAGGTATTACCTGGCAGTGGTAGAGCAGTGAGGTATTACCTGGCAGTGGTGGAACAGTGAGGTATTACCTGGCAGTGGTAGAGCAGTGAGGTATTACCTGGCAGTGGTAGAGCAGTGAGGTATTACCTGGCAGTGGTAGAGCAGTGAGGTATAATACTATTACCTGGCAGTGGTAGAGCAGTGAGGTATTACCTGTCAGTGGTAGAGCAGTGAGGTATTACCTGGCAGTGGTAGAGCAGTGAGGTATTACCTGGCAGTGGTAGAGCAGTGAGGCATTACCTGGCAGTGGTAGAGCAGTGAGGTATTACCTGGCAGTGGTAGAGCAGTGAGGTATTACCTGGCAGTGGTAGAGCAGTGAGGTATTACCTGGCAGTGGTAGAGCAGTGAGGTATTACCTGGCAGTGGTAGAGCAGTGAGGTATTACCTGGCAGTGGTAGAGCAGTGAGGTATTACCTGGCAGTGGTGGAACAGATGATGATGCCGGTCATGGCTGACAGACCTGATATATAACCAGTCAGTACACACTACTGCGGAGTTTCAGGTGCCGGTTGGCCACCAACAGTATTGCATTGATTTGTTTTTATGGTTCATCCACCATTTTTATTAGTTTGACTTACTGACTTTTGCCATTGACAGGACATTTCTTGGGTCCAATTCATTGACCAATATACAGCCTTTTGTGTCAGAATCACTGAGCTGTTGAACAATCAGTGCACAGTTATAGTGTTGGTGGTATCTGCCATTTCTTTATTTGTTTATAATACTTTTACAATAGATAAGTCTCAATTTAATGAGATTTTGAATTAATTGATAGATTGTTGAAAAGACTATGTAATAATGTTGGCGCTTTGAGCACCTTGTGCATGATGTCTAGCCATCTAAGAACTCATGTTATTGTAGTTGTTTTGTAATTAGATGAAAAACACAAAACTCTCACGAATTAGTAGGCTACATGTCATGGTTTCATTTGATATTAACATTTTTCAGCCACAAACAGACATTACGAGTGAACGTCCGCCTGACACCAAGTTGTCCGAGTTTGTTGCTAACCATTCCCCTGTGATGATGGACCCCACACCCCACAACATACAGTGTCCTGCTCCCCCTCGGGTACAGAGTCACAAGCACTTGCCACTGGACTGGAGTCTGAAGGTGAAGATGAGGATTGTGTCGGAGGCGTCACTGTCGTGGTGTACCCAGCTGAAGATGAATGAGGAGGCGCGGGCTGTTAGCCAGCATGTACAGATGCAGCACCAGGTACACCGTCATCCTTCCCTGCAGTCAGAGGGAATATCTCCAGAAGAAATAGAATAACGAGTGCTCCACTTAGTGTAATTTTTAAGAAGATGAGATGAGGGGTTCTTAACCTACGTTTTGCTTAATCTGTTCGACATACCACATGTTTTGTTTAGTTAGTTCTAAGAGCTTTTCTCTCAAAGATTTAAACCATAAAGCACTAGGTTCCCCCTTTTCACAGACTGGCTGTGTTGAACAGGGAAAAAATAATTACTGGTAAATGTTAACTTGTGGTGTTTGTTTGTCAGTGGCCCGGTGATGCTGACCGCTGCTCCACCTTCCACAGCTGCTGTCTGTACTGGGTGCACCCTAACATCCCCTGGGTGAAGCCCTTCCCACGCATTGTAGCAGAACAGAAGATCAGGTAGGCTGCAGATGGAACTATTCTCTCACCAGGGCACTGTATTCACTGTGTAGAGTTGCTTGTCTTAGTCATGCTAGGATCTGCTGATCACTATCTGAAATACTGTTCAAAGTAATAGCATTTTGTGATTATCCTCCTGGCATACAATGCAGTGGATGTAGTCATTATCTGGTCTGTCTGTCTGTCCATCCATATTTCCAGAGCATAACTTGAAAGATTTTAATCCAAACTTGGTACCTCCATCAATTAGGGGCTGAAGTGGTGCCTTTTGCTATTTAGGAATTGTTAGAGATTACATTCTTTCTGTTTCCATGGCAGCAAGTTTGACTTTGACTCTGTTCATAGTAGTGTGTTTGCCGAGACCATATCTCTAAAACTAATAAGTATTCTTTCATGAAACATTGCACACACAAAGACCATGTTAGCGACTAATGCCTTTTGCTACTTAGGGATTTTTATAAAAAAAAAAATTCTGTTTCCTTGGCAACATGTTTGATATTTGACTCTGTTGATAGTGGTGTGTTTTCCGGACCATATCTCTAAAACTAATAAGTATTCTTCATGAAACTTTGGATACACAAACACCATGTTGTCAACTGGTGCCTTTTGCTATTTGGTGATTATTATCCCCCGCCCAACAAAGTTGGGGGATATAGAAACGGGGTCCGTACATACTTACGTCCGTCGTCACGTTTTGTTTCCAGAGCATAACTAAAAAAACATTCAATATTTTTTCATGAAACTTTGCAGGTCTGTCAAGTACATGCTGAACTGGTGCCTTTTGCTTTTTAGTAATTTTATAAATTTTTATTTTTTACGTTTCCATGGCAACAAGATGGACTTAGGTTCTGTGAGGGTAGGGTTCGTTTCCGGAGCATAAGATGGCAACAAGATGGACTTAGGTTCCAAACTCTTCTTTTTTTTACAATTTCCATGACAAGTTCCACCTCGGTTAAATAAGGTTATAGTTTGTTTAGATTTAATTACCGTATTAGACGTAATAAGCGCCCCGCTCTAATAAGCGCCCACAGTGATATTTGCTAATATATTGGCTAGTGAACAATCCCAATTAGCACTCCTTCCAATTGATCAATGTACACAAGACTTATTATTTATTCGCGTATAATACGCACTCGTGTGTTATATGCATTCTTAATTATGGGCAATTAAATTCTGGAAAAATGTCGCATATAAACATTTCAGTGTGTCAGCATAAACCACAAAATTTATCTTTCAACACTCTTTTTTCCACCAAAATTATATTCTAATAAGAGCCCTCTATTTCTAATTTTGAGAGCGCCCTGGGCGCTTATTACGTCAAATACGGCATGTCATAAAATTCTGCAACAGGGGCGGGGGATATAGCCACGTTATTGGCAAACTCTTGTTTATTTTTTTTATTTTTCTGTTTCCTTGGCATCAAGTTTGACTTTGACTATGTTGATAGTGGTGTGTTTCTCCGGGCAATATCTCTAAAACTAATAAGTATTTTTTCATGAAACTTTGCACGCTCAAAAACCATGTTGTCAACTGATGCCTTTTGCTATTTTGGGATTTTTAGATTTTTTGTTCCTTGTTTCCATGGCAACAAGTTTGACTTTGACTCTGTTCATATTGGTTTGACCTGACATAGAAATACAAAGCTCTGAATCCCAACAGCTCAATAACTACTCTTGTATATGGACGGACAAATTAGATTGGCATTCTCTAATCAAGTTGGACTTAACTAACAGTCAGATTATTTGTTCTTTCGAATGTGTGGGGGCCAGGGGATTTTTTGATGCCTCTTGTTCAAAGTTTTTACAGTCAAAATAATTTTTTTTTGTGACATTAACAAAAAAAAACTTTTTCGCTAAATGACTATACTCCTCTTGAGTTTCCACTTTTAGGATTGTTCTGCTGCAGCGGTTGAGAGGGACATAGTACTAGCCTACTTGTTTAAGTTGAAGATGGTAACACCTTTGTCTGTCTGTTCCAGCAATGTCAGTATTGTGGGATCCAACGACGAAGCCACAGTTGCCCTGCACAGAGACTGGTAAGACACTGAGTGTCCCCGAGGTTGGTCCTGGCACAGGGTTAGGTTGACATTGGAATATTTTCACAACTCACCTGACTAACAGGATCCATCGATCGTTAAGTTTGACATTGTCCACAACTTCTCTGAAAGTAAAGGTGATGTTGAAACATTGCAGGAATGATCCAAGCTATTGTGTCTTACAAACACTTCTCTCAGAATTCTGCTGATATTTTAAACACCCATTCGAAGACAAGTGGAAGTCACTTGCTCTCTAAGGATGTTCAACCTCAGAAGGCGCCAACACAACTTGGCTGTTGTTCTGCTCCACCTTTCAGTGAAATCTGGAAGCTATAACATGGTGATTTTCCGGTGTTGGGGATTCAAAATTGTACAAATGGTGGGGCTGAGGGGCGGGGCCAAATAGGGGCAATTTGGCTATACTGCTTTAAACGACTTCTTCTCTGGAACTAATAGATAGATATCAACCATATTTGGTTGGAAGCATTCTCCGGTGGTGAGGATTCAAAAGTGTATAAATGGAGGGGCTGAGGGCCAGGGTCGGGGTCGGGGCCAAATAGGAGTAATTTGGCGTTATTGTTTTAAACGACTTCCTCTCTGGAACTTAGAGATAGTTATCAACCATATTTGGTTGGAAGCATTCTCCAATGGTGGGGATTCCAACTGGAGAAATGGAGGGGCTGAACCCTACCCCCTTCCCTGGGGACTAAGGGGCAGGGCTGAAAAGAGTTTATAACTTGGACACAGTTAAGATCCCCACCGTATAACCATATATTGGTTGGTTGGTTTGTTGTTGAACGCCACACTCAGCAATATTCCAGCTATATGACAGCAGTCTGTAAATAATTGAGTCTGAACCTGATAGTCGCCTCTTACGACAAGCAGTCTCTTTTTACAGCAAGCATGGATTGCTGAAGACCTCTTCTATCCCGGATCTTCACAGGTCTTTAACCATATGTACAGTTGAGAGTATAATGAGAGGAATGCACATATGCTACCAGGAGTGGCACTTCTGTTCATCTGTCAGACACTCCGGAAGGAGTTAGAACCTTGACCATAACATGCAAACTGATATTATCCCGACCCTATAATAAACAGATACATTGTATAAATTTGTTTGTTATGAAGAGAGTAATGCCTATGATATGGTTTATCCTTGATCATAACATGGAAACGGTTCAGATCTTTATACTGCATTGTATGTAGAGAAATACATGTTCATGCTGTCAGATTTGCTATCCACTCATTTTAAATGTTACATGCAGTATTATATACATGTACAATGCAAATGTATATTTTGTCATGATTGGGTAAATATCCAGGTGAGCGATACAGGCCCTATGGGCCTCTTTTGATTGATATGTTTGATGTAGCAACTTCTAGGGGACTGTGACTCTTGTGTGGTTTTAGGACGGAGAGCTTGACATCCGTGTTCCACCTACTGAGAGCCGGGAAATGCCCATATTTCTATCTGTGCACTCATCAGTTCACGGTGGTGTTCCGTGCTGCAGGGGTCAGCAGTCAGACTAACATCAACGCTTGTCTCACACCGACAACCCGTGGTCTGAGGGAGGCATTCAAGCAAGACGGTATGTTGTTAACACATTACTTGGAATCATGCTGAACTGAACTTCTTTGAGAGGCATTTACAAGTTGGAGTACTAAGTAAGGATAAGATGTATTGTTGAACAACTTCTTTTTTACAATTAGGAGCGACATTGCGGTGTAGGTTCTAACACCATTACAACACAAGTGGTCACTTGAACCTACACCGAAACACCGAAACGTAGCTGTATGTGGTAGTGAGCATTTGCTTCAGTAAAGTGGGAAACCCGATAAACATTTTGTGTGTCACACATCTGTATGTGTGTCTGTATCTGTGTTTCTGTGTGTGTATATGTCTTTGTGCGTGCGTTACACCAACTCACCCTTATCTTTGTGACACTTCCAGGCATCAGTTTCCGGATGCCCAACTTGGAGGGGAAGAAGCTAGAATTGTCTCCTGAGAGAGGCTCTGCTCTCGAGTCTGACCAGAACACAGACCCAGCAGCGGTGCCACAACCCCCACAGCCATCAGGTCCCCATAAGTATGTTGCTGTGTCTGTGTTTTAGCAGGAGATTGCTGTGTCTGCGTTTTAGCAATATATTGCTGTGTTTGTGTTTTAGCAGCAGATTGCTGTGTCTGTGTTTTAGCAGCAGATTGCTGTTTCGGTGTTTTAGCAGTAAATTGCTGTTTCGGTGTTTTAGCAGTAAATTGCTGTTTCTGTGTTTTAGCAGTAAATTGCTGTTTCTGTGTTTTAGCAGCAGATTGCTGTGTTTGTGTTTTAGCAGTAGGTTGTTGTGTCTGTGTTTAGCAGCAGATTGCTGTGTTTGTGTTTTAGCAGTAGGTTGCCCTGTCTGTGTTTAGCAGTAGGTTGTTGTGTCTGTGTTTAGTAGTAGGTTGTTGTGTCTGTGTTTAGCAGTAGATTGTTGTGTCTGTGTTTTAGCAGTAGGTTGTTGTGTCTGTGTTTAGCAGTAGATTGTTGTGTCTGTGTTTTAGCAGTAGGTTGTTGTGTCTGTGTTTAGCAATAGATTGCTGTGTCTTCGCTTAAGCAATTTATTGCTGTGTCTGTGTTTTAGCATTAGACTGCTGTGTCTGTGTTTAGCAGTAGATTACTGTGTCTGTGTTTTAGCAATAGACTGTTGTGTCTGTGTTTTAGAAGTGGATTGATGTGTCTGTGTTTTACTAGTAGGCTGTTGTATCTGTGTTTTAGCAATCGATTGCTGTGTCTTCACTTGAGCAATTTATTGGTGTGTCTGTGCTTTAGCAATAGTTTGATGTGTCTGTGTTTTAGCAATAGACTGCTGTGTCAGTGTTTTAGTGGTAGGTTGTTGTGTCTGTTTTAGCAGTAGATTGTTGTGTCTGTGTTTTAGCAGTAGGGTGCTGTGTCTGTGTTGTAAAATGCCCTCATTACCTTGTATTGTACAGGACTGCCTGCAGCTATGATGACGAGGATGATGATCTGATTGACAATGATGAAGGTGCATCTGTGTGGTTGGAGAGCATGGGCCTCGACAAAAAGAGCTTCCCCTCACTCGACCCGAACAAGGTCAAACTGTATCCTCCTCAGTCTGATTTACCCAGAGCTGATAGTTGCTTGTCTCCCTTTGTCCATCTCACCCATATCAGGTAGATGCCACATGCAGTTGTCTCCCTTTGTTCATCTCACCCACATCAGGTACATACCACATGTAGTTGTCTCCCTTTGTCCATCTCACCCACATCAGGTAGATGCCACATGTAGTTGTCTCCCTTTGTCCATCTCACCCACATCGGGTAGATGCCACATGTAGTTGTCTCCCTTTGTCCATCTCACCCACACTGCTGGGCCATGGGTTCCCCTAGTTCACAGCCAGGTGACAGCACAGGATCAGTAGTTGTTCAGTGTATTGTATGTGTTGATATTTTGTAGTTACACAATCAACCTTAAGATGAGTGGAGCAGTTTCAGAATACAACTTCTCGTGAGGACAATCTCTGCCATAGGTCACATGTCACTGAGACAAGCAAGTTGGAAGTGAACTTGCCACCTTTGGATTTGTAGCCCAACATCTTACCAACCAGTCTACGGCCTCACTGTTGACCTGGTCCTTCCAAAGACGTTACAGAACTGAAAAGAAAGGGTCGAAGTGGTGACAGACACTTACGAAGGTTACGGGTGGGCATGGTGTCTCTTGATGCTAGTCTACGGACACTTATATGAGTGATCCTGATGCCACTTCGCACACTCGTCCCATTCCGCAATCTAGATGATACCGAAAGGTGAGGAATGAGCCGATATAGCGTGAGCTGAAAATGTCTCTAGGAGTCAGATGTCTAATTCACGAGTACGTAGTAAATAATTTGTTGCGTGATTTTCTGGCAGAAAAGTGTATGAGGGAACACTGTGAAGATAATGTGTGTAAAACTAAGGAACAAGGAAGGCATAGGCAGGGTAGTGACGCCACAAGGGTGAGTTGGCTTTTAAATCATTATTGAACAAATGTAGCGAGTGAAAGTTTGATTATACACATAATAAACTGATTATACACTGATAGGCCTACTCACAAACTGATAGACCTACTCATCCACTGATAGACCCAATCCACCCACTGATAGACCTACTCATGCACTGGTAGACCTACTCATCCACTGATAGACCTACTCATCCACTGATAGACCTATACAAAAATATGCAGTTATTATTTCCTTAACTGGTGAAGTCAGCGTGAAGGATTCCGGCGTGTAGACAACAGGCCTGAGTCCCTGGTGTACGTGGAAGGTGCTGACGTCCAGGCGATGTTCAACTTTCTCCTCAACTGCCGGAGCTGCACCGCCACCAGTGGTCCCCAGGCCGGCATCCCCCCAACCATCCTTGCTCCCACGGCATTCAAAGGAGCCACACTCAAACCTAATAAAGTGAGTAAGTCATACATGTACTCTAATTATATCTCTTGTCATCAGCTGAAGTACTCATAATATCACTTTTCTGCAGCTGACCGTTCATTACATGTCACTGTCATTAGGGGAAGTGCACGTAATATCACTTGTCATTAGCTGAAGCGCCTGTCATATCACTTGTCATCACCAGGGCTTACTGTTATTTATCATCCAAAACTGGCTCCCACAGGAGATATCGCTTGGGTGACATGAAGCGCTATCTACATTGTAGATATCGCTGCAATGAAATTGCATCACAATGTTTTGCAGACCATTGTGATGTCATTTGTTTTAAGAATTGACTTTCACTTTGTGTGAGTTCATTGGAGTATGAACCTTCATAGAGTGAGGGCCAAACTGTATGAACGTCGGAGCTAGGGAATTCCCAGGGGTTTCCCCAGGAATGTGGAAGTAGTCCGTCAGTGTTTACGTCATTACAAGAACATGGTCTCGTGAAAAACGTATGAACGTCAAATTGTGTTGTTCATACACTTATGAACATCAATTTCGCGGTCATGTGACCGACCTCTCGTCCAATTGAAAAGCTGTATATCGTGTAAACTTTAAATTATAAAATTATACCATGATGTCACAATCAAATGACATCATCACTAATGGCTCTGCTACTGAAGCTGGTAGCAGTACTTTTTACACTTAAGACACTGCTTATTACTTTCTACAAACTGATAAAGTTGGAAGAATGATGTTGGATGATAAATAAAATCTCAGCTGAGTGTCTTATGATATCAAATATATCAACACGAGTTGATAAAAGTGGACAAAATCCGGGGCTTGCACACACTTTTGTCAGTGATTCTCTATGTGTCATCGGCCGAGACATTCACACTATCTCCTTTCTGCAGCTGAAGCACTCGGTGGCCAAACAGACAGATGCTTCAGGGAATTTCCAGAAAGGCCATGTTATAGAAATGTCCGGACCCATCCTCCCTCACCATGTGCTCAACGTGTCTCACCTCCTGCGTGATCTCCAAAAGGAGGATTTCACCTTGACCTTCAACACACATGAACCTACAGCAGCTCTGAACCTGAGGGGCGCCATGTTTCGGAGTGATTCATGTAAGGAAGTGGAAGAGTCCGGCTTACACCCTGCAGCCCAGGAGACTCTGTCTGGCCCCGTCACCCTGCAGGACAACACCGTGTATAAGGAGGTGACCAGCACTCAACATGGCTTCAACTTCAACTTGTGAAGTTTTGTTGTCTTTTTGACAGGACCTAATAGGTTCCAGATCTAGATGCCCTTGAGACTGGCATTAGCAGTTAAGATTGGTGAAGCATTTGTCATCTAGTGATGTCTCGGTGAAGCTTGGGGCATCTCATTGAAGTTTGGGACCGCCTTTGTGGTCTAGTCATAGAACGTCTACCCGGAGAGCAGAAGGTCCGTGGTTCGATCCCCAGCCGTGTCATACCAAAAGACATTAAAAGATGGTACTTGTTGTTACCCTGTCTGGCGCTTGGCATTAAGGGGCTAAAACAAGGACTCGTCGGCTCGGAGCCAGTATACTGTGTCTGAGTTGGGTATTCATGTTAAACTGCGGCATGGTATCTCAGTGGCCTAGCACTATAAAATCGGCATCAGTCTGGACTAGTACAAGCAGACACAGACACAGACACACACACACACACACATGCATGCATGCATGACGCTATATACGTGCAATAATCTTTAACGGGACGTTAAACCCCATTTCACCTCACCTCATTGAAGTTTGGGGCATCTCATTGACGGTTGAGGCGTCTCAGGGAAACATAGAGTGTCTCATTAATGATTGAGGTGTCTCAGTGACACGTGGGGTGTCTCATTGACGGTTGAGGTGTCTCAGTGAAACATGGGGTGTCTCATTGATGATTGAGGTGTCTCATTGAATTTGAGATGTTTCATGGATGGTTGAGGTGTCTCAGTAAAGCTTGGGATGTCTCGTGAATCTTGCGGCATCAAGGTGACAGGTGGGGTTTCTCAGTGTAAATTGGGTCATGATCATAAGCAAAACTTTGATCTTATGAATGAAGTTTGGGGTATCTCAGTAACAATGTCTGCCTTATTATTTATTTACATGACCATGACAAGAAAAGCTGATACATGTTTACTTCTTATCCGTTCATAATAACTCCACTGATTTGTTCACCTGTGAGTGTCTCTACTCAAACATTTTTATGATAACCCATGTCAAATTGTACATGTACAGTATATATTTAATTTATGTCATCTACATGATGTTTTCAGATATGTTTTATGTCTTTTTTATCATGTTAATAAAACTGTTAATTAGACCACTTTGTTTCCTTTTGTTATGTACAGTATTTTCAAATCACTAAGAATGAAAACAGGTATGATATCCAAATAGTCATATAATCAAATAAATATATATTAATGATAAAAATACATTTCCCTTATTTCAACTTATACTTGTAGCAATACTGTCCTGTATACATGCCCACCTTGGAATACTGTCCTGTAAATATCTCATGCTTGTGGTAATACGGTCCTGTATACATGCCCACCTTGGAATACCGTCCTGTAAATATCTCATGCTTGTGGGAATACGGTCCTGTATACATGCCCACCTTGGAATACTGTCCTGTAAATATCTCACACTTGTGGGAATATGGTCCTGTATACATGCTCACCTTGGAATACCGTACTGTAAATATCTCACGCTTGTGGGAATATGGTCACGTGTACATGCCCACCTTGGAATACCGTCCTGTTATCACTCATGCTTGTGGGAATATGGTCCTGAATACATGCTCATCTTGGAATACTGTCCTTTAAATATCTCACGCTTGTGGGAATATGGTCCTGTATACATGCCCACCTTGGAATACCGTCCTGTAAATATCTCACGCTTGTGGGAATATGGTCCTGTATACATGCCCACCTTGGAATACCGTCCTGTAAATATCTCGTGCTTGTGGGAATATGGTCTTGTATACATGCCCACCTTGGAATATCGTCCTGTAAATATCTCACGCTTGTGGGAATATGGCCCTGTATACATGCCCACCTTGGAATACAGTCCTGTAAATATCTCACGCTTGTGGGAATATGGTCATGTCGACAACCCACCCAGAATGTTTGATAAAATGCCATCAATGCGTTGACCATGTTGGAATAGGGTCCTGTAAACACGCCAACCATGTTGGTATCCCTCTACTTATTTGATAAGGTATTGAATTTGGGTATATTGCCTTGAGTAAGACGAGGTGTGATCGTTCGTAAATTGAGTGAACCATCCAACTCTCTCCCAGATATCTCGGGCTACACTCATACAAACATTTTAGAAAATCGTTTACGCTGATTGGTTGACCTAAATAAACTACTTAGTCAAGCACAACCATGTATTCTACAACTGACAATACAATTACCTTTCAAGCTCTGTGTTCTTATTATCTAGGCCTAAAGGCCGTGTCTACTGTGCATTCATAGACATTCGACCTTGTAGATAGGACAAAAAAACACTTTTATATATATTACATACTAAAGGATGTCATGGAAATATATTTAATTTTAAAGAGCATGTATGAGTCAATTGCTGAATGTGCGAAAACTAACTCGGGTAAGACACGTTTAATGTCATATCAGGTGTGCGACAGGGCTGCATCATGAGTTTTCTTTTGTAAATGAACTTGTTGATGCCATTGGTGAGAAATGCAGCAACGGGATATTTGTAACTAAAAAAAATAAGGATCTAGTTTGACTTTTATTTGGTGATAATATACATGTAGTTATGTTTTCCTATGCAGTGAAAGGTCTACAATCCCGCTCTTCAGCAGTTTTGTGATACTTAGGGGCTCGACCTAGACAAGTCAAATATAGTTGTATTTCGAAAAGGTGGTACACGTGCGCAAGTGGTCGTTTCGTAATGTAAATATGGGAGTTGTTTCCTATCACAAATATCTAGCTTTAATGTTGTCTTCGCGGTTAAATTTGTCAGTGGCCTACAAAACGCTTGCTGCTAAGGCATAGAAAGCTCTACTCACAATCTATAAACTATTTAAAGAAAACAAGTGTATATTACATTTTCAACAGGCAGTATACCTTCTGGAAAATGAATGTCACCAATTTTTGTATATGGTGCAGGGATTTGGGGCTCCAGTTATACTGAAGAAATATAGTAGGTTCATGCTTCTTATTTTAAAAGATTATTTGCTGTTGCTTCGAATAAAGCTATGTTAGGGGAGATTCGGGGCTATATAGAGCGGAAGGTCCGGGGTTCGATCCCCGACCGCGTCATACCAAAAGACGTTAAAAGATGATACTTGTTGTTACCCTGTCTGGCGTTCGGCATTACGGGGCTAAGACAAGGACTTGTCGGCTCGGAGTCAGTATACTGTGTCTGAGTGGGATATTCATGTTAAACTGCGGCATGGTATCTTAGTGGGCTAGCACTAATAAAATCGGCATCAGTCCGACTAGCACAAGCAGCCACACACACACACACACACACACACACACACACACACACACACACACACACACACACACACACACACACACACACACACACACACACACACACACACACACACACACACACGTGCATGTATATGTGCAATAATCTTGAACACGGCGTTCTACCCCATATTCACCTCACCTCTGAGTGAGCTCTCGCCCCTCTAGCTAAGAAACTGTTATCCCAAATATAACATTTGTTACATTTGACCACTTTCTAAATGGCATTGTGTATTCATAGCTTTCGGCCATGGGAGCCGTGCCAATTTACACTTGTCAGAGGGGTACCCAAAGTACGTGATCTAGACTACCAGCTGTCGGACTTTCACTTTTGTGGAAGCCTCGGTGGCTGAGTGGGTTAGATCGCTGACTTTGTGTGCTGGCGATTAGGTGCCTCACTCTGGCAATGTGTGGTTCGAATCCCGGACGGGACTCAACTCCAAAAAGTACGAGAATCTGTACTCTACTAAGAAAGTGTTACTAAATATAACATTTGTTATGTTTGGATTGCCCATGATCTTGGGAATAAGGTATCGTTTGTTTCTACCTTTAAAAAAGATTCGTTTATATTTTCGTTCAAGGTTGGTGAGAAAATATCTTCTTTTACATTACGCTTTCATTAAATCTGTGTTCCAACCTGAGAAGCATTCAACATTAATGGAAAATTCCTTCTGCGAGCGATTTTATGTTTAGTATCTCGTTTACATTGATAAAAAAATACAAGATATTAGGAAGAACAAAGACATATACTATTCAAATATCATTTGTACATATTGTAAATCTGGATCTATTGAAGACGGGTTTCGTGTCCTGTTAATCTGCGATGCCTTTGCTTCCTAAAGAAAGAAATATTTGCCACATTTAGAAAATATATAGGTTAATCACCAAGTAATGTACTTAACTCAAATGATGTTATACTATTATGTCAGCAGCTCTCTTTATCAAATACAGTTTCTAAACGATTTCGAAGAGTTGTTAATTCAACAAATGTCCAGTCAGTCACGTGACTACTAGATTTTGTTCACAAGGCCGAAATACTGACTAAACACATCCGTCTATCTGTCCTCTACGTTTCTCTGATAGTCTGTCTGTCTGTCCTCCACGTATATCTGATAATCTGTCTGTCTGTCTGTCTTCTACGTATCTCTGATAGTCTGTCTGTCTGTCTGTCCTCTACGATTCTCTGATACTCTGTCCGTCTGTCTGTCCTCTACGTTTCTCTGATAGTCTGTCTGTCCTCTACGTTTCTCTGAAAGTCTGTCTGTCCTCTTCGTTTCTCTGATAGTCTGCCTGTCTGTCCCCTACGTTTCTCTGATAGTCTGTCTGTCCTCTACGTTTCTCTGATAGTCTGTCTGTCTGTCCCCTACGTTTCTCTGATAGTCTGTCTGTCCCCTACGTTTCTCTGATAGTCTGTCTGTCCTCTACGTTTCTCTGATAGTCTGTCTGTCTGTCCTCTACGTTTCTCTGATAGTCTGTCTGTCCCCTACGTTTCTCTGATAGTCTGTCTGTCTGTCCCCTACGTTTCTCTGATAGTCTGTCTGTCCTCTACGTTTCTCTGATAGTCTGTCTGTCTGTCCTCTACGTTTCTCTGATAGTCTGTCTGTCTGTCCCCTACGTTTCTCTGATAGTCTGTCTGTCCTCTACGTTTCTCTGATAGTCTGTCTGTCTGTCCCCTACGTTTCTCTGAAAGTCTGTCTGTCTGTCCCCTACGTTTCTCTGATAGTCTGTCTGTCCTCTACGTTTCTCTGATAGTCTGTCTGTCTGTCCCCTACGTTTCTCTGATAGTCTGTCTGTCCCCTACGTTTCTCTGATAGTCTGTCTGTCTGTCCCCTACGTTTCTCTGATAGTCTGTCTGTCCCCTACGTTTCTCTGATAGTCTCTCTGTCTGTCCCCTACGTTTCTCTGATAGTCTGTCTGTCCTCTACGTTTCTCTGATAGTCTCTCTGTCTGTCCCCTACGTTTCTCTGATAGTCTGTCTGTCCCCTACGTTTCTCTGATAGTCTGTCTGTCCCCTACGTTTCTCTGATAGTCTGTCT